CCCATCAACGCAAGCCGCTAACCAAAAAAAAAATTGGCCCAAAATATAACAGCGCGCGCGCCACGTTTTTTTTTCTTCGTTTGTTAGATAGAATGTAGATTTTTCCATCATTCTATTGCTCCCATTTTGGATTTTTCTGGTTTGGTTTTCGATAGAATAATCATTGAATTGAAAAAAAAAACAAATGGATTGTATGTCGCACTGCGCGCACAGCCGACTATATTTTTGGCTTTCTCTCTCTCTCTCTCAATACTTACGCTATAGTTTGCGTATCCAATTTTTTTTATATAGAGATTTGTTTGCTTTTTGGTTAAAAATGCTTGACATTCGAGGACAACAATCAAGCAAGATGCTACCAGAAAAATGATGATCCTCTCCCATTTTCATTTTTCATTTTCTCTGACTACTGACTGGAGGAGTAGACTTAAATTCTGTATGGCTTGTGCTATACGAGGATTCATTCATTCGTTCGTTGTTCATTGATGATGATTACATGTCGCGTATGATGATGATGATAAAAAAAATATGATGCGCGTACTCGGTACGCGCCTGGATACAAAAAAAAAATATATTCAGTAAAAACTTTGGTTTCGGATTGAAAAGGAAGCAGCAGCACAGCAGTTGTTGTTGTTATTATAATAATATTGCCGCTGGCTGAAAATAGCGGTAATTTTATTTAGCTGTAAAGAATTTGGCCGGAAAAATTCATGGTGGTGGTGGCGGCAAATTCGTTTTATATAATCAACAAAAATTATTGACAATTTATAATGGCGCATTAATTTTTCATTTACGCCAGCTTTTTTTTTAAAAAATCATATTTTCAAAATTCTACGAAATGTTCAATTCGAATCATTGATGAGTTTTTACCGGAAAATACAAAAAAAACAAAAGAAATTATTTTCCGGGAAAATTTTCTTTTAAATCATTATGATGATGATTCGATTTCCGGGAAAATTATCACATTCGAAAACAAAATATTTTTTTTCTTTCAAAAAAATTTCTCTGCAAAATTAGTTTATGTTTTTTTTTATTAATTAATTAATATTTAATAATAAATTATCATCGCAGAAACACAAAGAACAGGAATTCACGATAGGAAAAAAAAATCAATCATTAAAAATGTAAATGTGTTTGTATTCTGTGTATTTGTAAAAAGGGCAACAAAAATTTCATCTACCTAATTAATTTATCTATGTTTGTGTGTGTGTGTGGGTGGAAGGTGAATGATAAATATTTCATTTCATTCAAAATAAATTTCATTTGATTATTACAATTTGAAAGAGAAAGAAAGAAAAATCCAAGTAAACTAACCAACGAATATATTGTAATTGGTAAATGATGTTTCTGTTTTTTTAAATATTAATTTTGTTTTTTTTTGTTTTAAGAGTTTTTTTGGTTTCTTTTTTGTTTTGATATTCCATTCTAAATAACTAAATTAAACTAAATCATAAGGATGTTTTACCATTTGGAATATGGAAGAAGTGAACAAAAAAAAAAGTTTTTTGTGTGTTTTTTTCGGGGGGATGAATAAAAATTGTGTCTCGGTACACGAAGCGTTTTACAGTGTGTAATTTTTTTTTTCGAAAGCAATAATCAACATTATATACAACGATTGTTTTGTTTTGCCTAATGTTTTTTGTTTGTTTGTTTGTTTCATCCATCGGTAATTAAATTTAATTTCAACCAATATGCATAATCGAATTTTTGTTTTGTTAATTTATCACCACATTCGATGGAAAAAAACAACACAATACAGATGTTAATTAATGAAGAAAGAAAAAAAAATTTATGTAGAAATGAATTGAATATAATGTTGTTGTTATTATTATTATTATCATTATTATTATTAATTGTTTAGTTGTTTGTTTAATTTTCCTACAAGAAATAATCTGGTGTACGTCTTGTAACATGTGGTTCACCACGTTTAGGCGCTGGATCAAATTGTAAAAATGTATAATTAAGTGTATCATCTAATTCCATGATTGCAGCCTGATTACCACAACGATAACAATAATTCGGTGCTGAAAATATTGTAACAACATTATGATCATGACACCAATTAAAACCTTCCATTACTAATTGATGAGCACGTGCGACCAATGTTAGGCCATTTGTATGATTAAATGTTTCTGATATATCATGACCAAAAGTATAGCCAGCACCACGTGGTGAAATACCCCAACCACCACGATCATCCGGATCCGACCATAATAGATCACACATCGGTCCTTCATGTGGTACCTCTTGTAAACGATCCAAAGCACGGATATGATCCAATGTATCAATAGATGGTGAAAGACCACCATGTAGGCAAAATATTTGTCGGTCAACTGATCATCATCAAAGAAAATAAAATTATTAATTCATTAACAAAACATAAACATTATTTTTAGTACAAACATACCCAAAGCAGTTAACGGTAGATAATCAAAAAGATCGGTAAAATATTTCCATACATTTGATGTACCATATTTTCTTAAACATTCATCATAAAAACCATATACCTGTGTAATTTGTCTTGATTCATGATTACCACGTAATATTGTTATACGATCCTTATAACGAACTTTTAATGCAACCAATAATGTAACCGTTTCAACGGAATAATAACCACGATCAACATAATCACCCATAAATAGGTAGTTTGTATCTGGTAATCGACCTATGATAATTTAATATTTTTTAAAAAGAAAAAACAAATAACATTTAGATAACATCATTATTACACGTGTATAATTTTGTTTGTTCAATTTTTTTTATCAAAAAAGTACAATCGTATATTTAGCAATAAAAAAAAAGTAAAATGAAAAAAACTATTCCCTATCATCAAATATCATAAATTATTGGCAAATGTAAATTTGGAAAAAAATGAATCATCTAAAATAAAAGTTTCCAATTTCTTTGGAAAAAAATTCATGATCAAATTACCAGCATCCACACACCAAGACAACAAAAATATTGAATTTAATCTCTTTCAATCCACATTTTATTCACCTGATTTAAGAATAAAGATGTCCTTTGTTCGGAAAAAAATCAACATTTCAATCATAAAATCAACTTTATGCAGATATTTTTTTCAATCTCTACAGCTGATTATTTAATAGCTGATAAATTTTTATTATTTTGTTTTTCTTTAATTGAAAACATTTATTGTTATGACTGATTTGATTTGAAAGAAAAAAAAACCAAACAATTGATATGAAAAGGATATGGGAAAAGTCAAATTGTTACACTTCATCATCATTATTCTTAAAATCTAATCTCAAATCTAAAATAATAAACTAATGTAGTGAGAAGAGAAAAACAAATCATAAAACATAGCATAACGTTTGACAATTTTCGAAATAAAATTAGATTCAAATCATATGATAATTATCGATTGATCATCATTCATAATAAATTAATGGCGTATGCTATATGTTTATCATCATCAACATCAACATTATAGCCAAATACAATTATCATTTCATATCATATACTAAAAAATTCAATCAAATTATTTAATCTTTATCCAAACGCTATACAGATATTATTATGAATTGAATAATCATTTCATTTTCAATGAAAATGATTAGAAAAATAGAGAAAGAAACAAAAATTATACATACCACCAATACGAAATAATTCCATTAGATCATGAAATTGTCCATGTACATCACCACAAACAGTAACTGGACATTTAACATCCTGTACATTTGATTCATTTGTCAATATATCTCTAGCTTTGTCACATAATTGTTTTACTTGTGATTCGGTCAATTGTTTACATTCCATTAATTGTTCAATCCATTGATCTAGATCTTTATTAAATTGTATCATATCACCACCAGCACCACTGGATATTTGTAATGTTGTTGTCGTTGTTGTTGTTGTTGGATTCGTTAATGTTGTTGTTGTTGCTGCTGCTGTTTGTTGATTGTTTGTTGTTGTTGATGATGTTGTATTATTATTATTAGATGATTCATTATCGGATTTATTTGCAGCTGCAGTGGTTGCTGTTGTTGTTGATCCACTTGCAGCTACATCACCACTTGAATTTGAAGACATTTTAATTTAATCTTGAATTTATTTTTATTTTTTAATTGATAAATCTTGTTTTCGGTTTTTTATTCGTTCGTTTTGATATGATCCAGCAGTAAAAAAAGATTAATCAATTTTTTTTCACACACAGAAAAAGGTCAGTACAAAGAAATTGCTAAAAATAGAATCAGAATATGATGATGAAAAAAAAAACAAAACGAATTAGTGACATTGAAACAAATTATTAATGGTAAAATATAGAATAAAATGGGCAATGAATATTTTTGGGTGTGTGTTTTTAGTTTTTCATTTGGTGGATGGGTACATTATGATAATCATAAAGCCGATTATTATTGCATAGAAATTAGAGAATCTAGGTTGTATGAATTTGAAAATTTTTCAACAACAAAAAAACAAAATTTTACTCACCAAATTGATTAGTAATCAGTTTTCCGTGCCTGTTTGTTAATTTAGTTTTGAAAAAACAAAAATTATTAAATTTGAGGAGAAAAAAAATTGATCAAAATCAAAATGAATATTTGATCTTGATGATGAAGATGATGATGATGATGATAAAAACAGATGTGAAAAAAGTTTTTTTCTTCGCCTAAAATTGCTTATTCCTATGGCCAAAAACTGCCGGTTATCGGATATTACAAATATAATAATAAAATATGCGAAAAAAACAAACTAACACACTAGATAAAATGAATGATATAATCTCAACAAGAACAAAAATAATGATTTTTTTAAAAAAAAATATTCCAATTTCGATGGATTCAAAAGTTTAAAAAAAATGGAAATCCAAATTTCAATAATAATGGAGATGAGTCAAATTAAACCGATGGTTAATATAATTTACCACACATTTAAGAAATGAAAAACCAAAAAAACCAGAAAAAGTGAAAAAAACACTCAGGGCAGATATTATTTTTTGTTGCTTCTTTCTTTCTTTCTTCTTTGGCGACATTCATCGAACCAACGAACAAACAAAACGCACAAAAAAAACACCAAACAGGCAAAGAGAAAAGAATGGATTTGAGGAATGGCGAGTGGAAAACTTTTACAATGAATGACCCAAATTGGTAGTAGCATAGAATAACAGGATCATTATCCGTTGATTTTTGATAAAAAAATTTGAATTTTTTTTTTCAATATTTTACTTCACTACTGCCACTGCCACTACTACTGTAAACGATGAACAAACAATAAATGGATGATTACGCCCTTCACTTATTTCGGCAAATGTACATGCGGCATTTTATCTAATTTTTTTGCCACTTCTTCCAATTTTGATTTCAAATTGTGTACTAAAGATGGCGTTAATGTTGTGGGGAAAAAAATGTCGACATTTAAGAAATAAATTGATCGATAGATGGCAATAGTTTTTATGATTTTTGTTTGGTCGAATTAAATATGAATTCGATGTGTTTGATGGATTAATGTTGCATAACCGGCAATAAAACAAATCCAATCTAATAAAAATTTCAGATCAATACGAAGAACATCGAACAATAATATAAAAAATGATTGTTGATAAATGTTTATTTCTTTGAATTTTAAAACTTTAGCACATTTTAATGGTGATGAATTTTTTCTTGATGATATTGTTTGAGTTGGACGAACTTTACGTAATTTTCGTAACATAAATCCTTCAATTTGATTGAAATTTTGTAAAACTTTACGATTCATCGATAAAAGACCAAACCAAAATATTATTCTGAATAGAACATCAGAAAAATACCATAAATTAAGAGGAAAATTAGTCATAGCTGCATCGTTTAAAGATATTGTAATGATGACTGATGTATGAATTAAATGAATGGTGGTTAGTATTGAAAATATCCGCTGTAAACGATTATTCAATTCAGCCAATTCTTTCATCTCTTCATAAAGATCTCGACATTTTGTGATTGATGATTGATTTTTTAATGTATGTCGTAATGGTTCAATTCTTTTGCCAATCTTAGCCAATGATGCCGATATCGCACATCGTGATCGTCTCAAATAACAATTTTGACATTTTTTTGCATTAGCCAATTGTGCTGTTTGTTTTTCATTATCATCATTCAGATAACGTTGACGAATTTGTTTCAACACATGAAGATTAGCCAATTGAATGAAATATAAAAAAATCCATGTAACTGAACGATACAATATAAACAATTCAATTGCAAATAATGTTCTTAAATTATACGTATAGTATGGTAAAAATTTTCTTAACCAAAGTAAATATGTTGGAATTGAACTTGCAGAAATGAAAATCATAATTGATTTATGCGAAACTCGAACCGATGAAAATGTTGATGATTTTAAATATTGTATTAAAAGACGTCCATAAATCAAATATGTAATAATATAGGATAGATAAAGACCAGGAAAAATGAATAGACCACATATTTTGATAAAATAATACATCAGATATTGATCAGATGTTATTAATCGTTCCAATCTTACTTTCATTGGTTTTTGATCATATAATGAATAAAGTGTTAATAAATTTATAACAATATTCCATAACCAATTTATTATGCTGATTGAATTATTTAAAATCAATGGTCGTAATTGTATGCCAATAAAACCAAATGTATTGAGCAATAATCGAAATAATCGATGTTGTTTCATTATGGTTGATCATCATAATAATAATAATTAATGAATGAATGAGTGAATATCGTATTTCTGGTTAGAGTCAGGTAATAACTTTTTTTTGTTTAATCATATTTCAACAACAACAAAAAAAAGAAAGTTTTTTTTTTGTTTGACACAATTTTCAACATATATTCTTAATTACAGTTATTAATTCAAGTTTGTTGTTTGTTTGTTTCTAATTTCCTTTTGTTTGTTGTAAATTTGTATAGATGATTAAAGCTTTTATCGAAGAAACGCATGACATAAAAAATGATGACATCTTATTACATATTAATTTGTTTGACAATTATTTCATTATCTGTCATGATAAACAAACAAAGTTTAATCATAGTATTTGATGGAAAAATTGAACGAATTAATTTCAAAAAGAAGTGTGCAGTGTGTTGGAAGTGTGAAACATTTTTTAAAAATCAAAGCCAACGAGTTTGATGTATTAATGTTGCATAACCGGCTATAAAACAAATCCAATCCAATAAAAATTTCAAATCAATACAAAGAACATCAAACAACAATAGAGTAAATGATTGTTGATAAATATTCATCTCTTTAAATTTCATAACTTTGGCACATTTTAATGGTGATGAATTCTGTGTCGACGATGGTATTGTTTGATTTGGACTAACTTTACGCAGTTTTCGTAACATAAATCCTTCAATACGATTAAAATTTTGTAAAACTTTACGATTTATTGTCAAAAGACCAAACCAAATTAACATTCGCAATAGTATTTCGGAAAAATAACCAAAATTATAAGGAAAATCAGCCATTGCCGTATCGTTCATAGATATTGTGGTTACAATAGATGTATGAATCAGTTGAATAATTATTATTAATGAAGATATTGGCTGTAATCGATTATTCAATTCAGCCAATTCTTTCATCTCTTCAAAAAGATTTCGACATTTTGTGATTGATGATTGATTTTTCAATGTATGCCGTATTGGTTCGTTTCTTTTGCCAATTTCAGCCAATATCTCGCATTGTGATCTCTTTGAATATAAACTTTTACATTTTCTTGTGTTAGTGAATTTCACTGTTTGTTTTTCAATTTCATCATCCAGATAACGTTGACGAATTTGTTCCAACACATGAAGATTAGCCAATTGTATGAAATATAATAATATCCATGAGACGGTATTATAAAATGCAAATATTTGAATGCCAAATATTGTTGATAAGCTAAATGTATCAAATGGCAAGAAATTTCTAAGCCAAAGAAAAAATGTCGGAATCACCAATCCAGCAATAATCATTAGATTATCAATTCGTGAAGAGATTTGAACCGATGCAAATATTGTTGATTGTAGATGACGTATTAATCGATGTCCATAAATCATATAAGTAATAATATATGAATGATAAATCACCGGAAATATTAATGAACCACATATTTTAATAAGATAATACATCAGGTATTGATCAGTTGACATTAATCGTTTTAATCGTGGATCAAATGGTTTTTGATCATGTAATTTATAAAGTGATAATAAATTTATCAAAACATTCCATGACCAATTTATTATGCTCAATGGATCATTTAAAATCAATGGTCGTAATTGTATACCAAGAAAACCAAAAGTATTTAGTAATAATCGAAGTATTCGATGCTGTTCCATATTGTTCTTTCTTCACACTTTTTTTTCAAAATATCAGATGTTAAATGACATAATTTTTCTTTTAATAATTATCTTTAATAATCATAATATTCAGAATAACTAATTTCCTTTTTTGTTGTTCCTAAAAATTCATCATCAACAATTATTAACTTTCATCAAAAAAAAGAAAACGCATGACAAGATATGGATAAAATGACATTTTTAATTAGTTTGACTAATAATTGTTGCATAACCGGTTAAGAAAATAATCCAATCCATAAACAGAGCCGAATCAATAGTAAAAAAATCAAACATTAACAATGTGAATGATTCACGAAAAATATCCATTTCTTTATATTTGAAAATTTTGTTACGTTTCATAAATGATGATTTTTTCATTCGTTTCAAATCGTCATCATACATAATGATTCGTAAAAATTTTTGTAATGAATTTTGAATTTGATCAAATTCAGCCAGAACAATTCGGTTGATCGAACAAAAACCAATCCAAAGACTTACACGTAAAGGAAATTCAATTATAAAACTTGAACTAAATTCCGCACCAAAAGCAGCAATGTTTGTTGTGCTTATAATAAAAAATGAAGATGTATCTAGTATATGTGCTAATAGTAAATATGAACGAATCGATTGTATCATTGTATTTAAATTGGCCAAATTTTTGATATCATTAAAAAGATTTTCACATGTTTCATTTGTAATTGAACAATGATCTTCGACATTTTTTCCTTTGGTCCATTGTTTTTTCTGCCATATTGAAGCCGAATTTCGTCGTGATTTCAAATGATTATGTTTAATAATCAACGATAAAGTTCGATAATAACAATGTTTCATAAGATTTGATGTTTTTCTATTTTGATTTGAGAATTTAGTAGATTTTGAATGTTCACCGATTGATGAACAATATCGATTTTTGATCGCTTTTAATATATTTAAATTAGCAAACTGATGAAAATATAACAGAATCCAAGTTACCGATTCATAAAAATAAAATATTTCAAAGGAAATCATTGTTGAAATGTCAACTTTCGCAGGTGTATCTATTTTTTTCAAATACACAATAAAATTTTGAATAATCATGACAATTGATAATATTAAAATTGATTTTTGTTTAGAATATTGTATAGAAAGATATATTGTTGATTGAAAACATTCAATTAATCGATGACCATTGATAAAATAACTCAATGTATATGCATAATAGATTAGTGGAAATAATATATATGAATTAAATTTATGGAAATAATATATATGAATTGAATTAAATTTATTAAATTGCATTAGCATATACTCTTCGAATTTTGTTGTTCCATCATTTTTAAACAATGGTGATTGAAATGTTTTTACCATATAAATATTGAACAAAATGTTTGTGAAAAAATTGACAACACTACGAATGTCATTGAATTTTAATGGCGAAAGTTGAACACCACCAATGCTGAAATTGAGAAAATTTTAAAAATTTTAATTTTGTTTAAATTTCAAATTCAGCTTTTCAAAATACACCTACCCATAAGTATTGACGATTAGATCCAAGAATCGATTTGTATTTTGTTTTTTATTATTCATTGTTTGCTGTCTGCTTTTGTTTCTCACATCAAAATGAATAATAATTTTGTCGTTTTCTTTTCGATTATTTCTTTCCAAGTAATTTATTTAAAATTATTTACTTCCTTCGACATTTGTAGTGAATATTATCGATTTTCAATATAAACGATTACAATAATTACAATAATAACATTTATTATAAATGTATTAATCAGTTTGATAAATAAGTGTTATGTAACCAATGATAAAACAGGATAAATGTAAAAGTGTAGAAAAATTTACATAATAATTTTGAAAAAGCCATAAACGAAATGAATCGCGAAATCGATGTATTTGTTTCATTTTGATTAATATATTCAATGTATTGTCATCAAGATTATTATTATTATGATTATTTAATTGATATTTTCTTATTTGACGATCTAATCGATATTCAATTCGATCAAATTGTTCCAAAATTTTATTATTCATTTGACAAAGTTTTAGTAATAATATTAATCGTAAAGGTAGTGCCAAAACAGTACCAAATAAACTATCCAAACCTAAACTAATCATATAGGTAATATCGGCTATTAAATAGGATAAATTATCAAGTAATTGAATGATCAACATCCATGAAAATCGTTTACGAATTGGATCATTAAAATTTGATAATTTTTTAATAGCTTTAAATATTTTTAGTAATCGTTTGATTTTGATTATTGAATTATTATTATTATTTGAAAAATTTTGATCATAAATTTGATTTAATGTTGACAATATTTTCCATTGATGAAAGAATATTAACAACCAGCTTACAATTAAATAATTTTGAAATATAACCATTGCTAACATGGCTGTAGTTTTAAAATATTGTGTCGACGATGTTAGTTGTAATGTTGCAAGAATCCAATTCCACATAAGAATCATAATGGAAACAATTAACGATATGACTATTATTGCAATCATTTTGATAAAACTACATCGTGCTTTGAAAATGGGTGATCGAAGATATTCAATCATTTCATGGCCATATCGAATAAACCACAGCATAAAACCAGTGTGAATAGTTACCCAAATCAAATAATGATTTGCAATATAAAGATGCCGTAAAAGAAATTGATCACTTGATTGTAATTGTGATTTGATTATTGAAAAATAATAGGATTGATCGATGAAAATTACGTAGTAAAACCAAACATTCAAAAGGATATTCATCCACCAATTCAATAAAATCCATCGATTTGTTGGATTCCATCGTCGAAGTTGAACACCAGATATCCTATCATTTTGAATTATATTAGATTTTAGAAAAAAACAAACAATAATGATAATCAATCAAATCTAACCCGAAAATTTTCACTATCAATTGTATAGAATCATCATCAACAATCGGTTTTTGTTGTTGTTCCATTGTTATGAAAAGTTTCAAGTTTATCAATAAAATGAAAATTATTCATTTTTTTGTGTCTATCGAAAACTTATCATCTAATCAATATCGTGACATTCTAATCAATTTAATCGATATTTATTAAAAAAAGAAAGAATGCCTTGCATTTCGATCAATAATTATGCCCATCCTATTTTTTTCATAAATATTCATAAACCTTGAATTTTATTTTCCCGAATAAAATGTTGTTAATTTACATTAATCTTCGATAATATTTTTACCTGTCTAATGTCGTAGATTTAATAAATCGTTTCAAAGGAAAAATATTTATGAAAAGAGTTAAAAGAACAACAAAATTATGAATCTTTACTTTCATTTTAAAAATATTTTTGGTTGTTGTTGTTGTTGTCGAAGTGAAAGTTGAACAAACCATACATATCAGGTTTTTTTTTAAATATTTATTTTGATCGGATTAGCAACATTTTTTTTCAATATTATCATAGATAATATACGATTGGTCATTGAATCCTGGATCGTGAAGATTATTTTTCCCCCCATCAAAGGTCAATGGTAAATTATTATTATCATTTTTCTTGAGAATTATAAATTTTAAGTAGTCAATCACCAATGATGTTTGGACAGGTCTTGAAGAATTATTTTCAAAATAGATCAATGACCGTAATCGTCTAATTATTCTTGTTCAATTAACAATGTTAGCTATAGCTAACTATATAAATGGCAATCGATTCCATATCAAAATTCATTCATTCACTTTCAACCAAAAAAAAACATCATCCTTAGCAAATTCACTTTTCTTCTTTGAAAAATAACAAAATGAAATTCGTATGTTTTGCAGTCTTGATATTTATATTATTTCAATCATTTAATTTTCTTTGATTTTTAAATAGACATTGTTATGCGCGACTTTGTTGGCCATCATTAATGCCATACTTGCTTATCAATATGAAAATTATCAAGCTGAATTACAATCAGCAGTTCAGCAGCCACAACCAACGGTAAGCTATGCAGACACTTCCGATGGATATATACCTGCCGGCAGTATAAGTATTCCAAGAGGAGTATATCGACAATCACAAACAAATGGAGGATATCAAGCTCAATCATCGGTTTACAGTAAACTTGGTGCTGATTCATACACAGCATCTATACGTGGATCACAACGTAATATTAAAGTTATTGATGTTCCATCAACATATTCATTACCAGCCGAAACAATGACAATACAAATACCTCCAAGTTCACAGCCATTAACTTTTATTCTTCAATCTCGATCGAGCGAATTGAATTTACAATCATCTCATAAATCGGATCCTGGTTCATATAAAGAAACGAATTCAGAAGATGGATTACATGTCCTTGTACATACAGTAACTCGACCAGTATTACAAGAAATACGTGAAATTATTACTCCATATCGTAGGGTGACACAAGAAATCAAACCAGTACAAGAAACGGCTGAAACATTGGTTGCCCAGGATAAACGTGGTTATAGTAACAATGCAGAATCTTCACCTGTACAACCAGCTAAACCAAAACAACAACAACAACAACCAACTGCATTAGCACAAAAACCATTGAAATTGGCTCCATCACCAAAACCGCAGCCAAAATCACAATCACAACAACAAAATTACAGCCAAATTCAACAAAAATCAATGAAACCAGTTGCAAAACAGCAACCAATCAATCGTCCAAATCCACCAGCACCAGCAGCACAAAAGCCAAAAGCTTATTGAAAAAAATTAATTTGATATTCTCTCAATGATCTTATAATCAATGATTTAAAAATTAACCCTTTTAATGTTTAATGAAAAAACCATATAATAAATTTGATAAATAAGAAATTGTTATCGAAAAGATGGCAGTCGCTTTAATAATTAAAAAAAAAATGAAAATCATTAAAAATTTTTGTCAAGATGGTACTTCCATAAGGTTGGCCAACGATTTTTCCGAGTTTCCTTTGCTGTACATGATAAAATTTTTAAAAATTTTTTTATATCAATAAGATTCAATTTAATTGATCTTTGGTGAATATAATGCTAAAAAAAAATTCATTCAAATAAATCTTTATTTTATTCATGAGGCTTTTGGAAATTCACCTCTATGAATAAGTTCCACTTGTGAAATACGTGTTTCATGTGGTAACAGGCCTCGTCGTGGAAGGAAAGTATGTTTTAATGAATATTTTAATAAATTTGTCAATTGTGACATGTAGATATCCGAATAACGGAATAGACGACGAGAAAAATATGTTGGATTATGATGTGTACGAAAAATTGAACCAAATTGTGGATTAAACAATGTTTTAGCTTCAAAACGTAATGCATCACGTTGTTGTATTAATTGATTAAGGATAGCTTCATCCACATTATTTTCATTGCCTTCATCCACTAATTGTTGTAGAGCTTGTAATGCTGATACAGCCTCTTTAAATTCTGGACTATTATGCGTTTCGATTTCTTTTTCTAATTCGGCAATAATTGCACCAGTACGCCAACCAAAATTCAATGTTATATCAGCCAAATCAGAATAGATTTGATCGCCAAAATATATGACACGATTTGAATTCCAACCGGTCATTTTGAGTAAACCTGATACGGTACCTTCCATATAAATTTTATCTCTATCCAATGTTGATACACGATTCCAATTCATACGATCGCTGCCCAAATTGAATGTTCGAAACGGTCTATTTGTATGTGAATTAAGATAATCAGATTTGAGATAATAGGAGCCATTAGGTAATTGATAATTACCTTGATTCTTTTTTGAAAAATGATGGTTTACGTGCCTGTACTACAATAACATCAAACAATGATCTCCAATCATTTCCAATCATATATTTCATTCCATTGTCACTGTTAAATGTAGAAAATAAAAATTAGAATAACAAATCAATAAATGGATGAAAGCTGTAAAAATACGAACACAAAATGGAACGGTGAATTTGTGATGAGAAATACTTTTTTATTATTTTTTCGTAGATGTTCCAAGAACACTGGTAAACGTTCATTTTTTTCCAAATAATTGGGTATTTTTTGTAAATCAAGCATTTTATGTATAACTGGATGAATACTCCTTATGGCATGCTAAATAGAATTTTTACATTATTAAATTTCATTTTTCTATTTAATCATTTCTACTTACAGTAACATCATGATAAAGAATTTCTGGATAATATGGTATATTATTCTGGATAAAATTTTCAGTCACATTTGATAGTAGGCACATTTCAGGCACCGAAAATAGATCATTCAATTGTTTCATTCGTACATTTTCCTTTTTGGTGAAGAGAGAAAAAATTTGTCAGAAAAAATTTCAAACATTATCAAATAAAACAATAGATCAAACCACATACTTCATAGTTATCACCACGAATATATTGTCTTGGTATATAAAGACCATTATAAAGACGTATAATTTCATCGCTTGGTACAGGTGATAATCCACGATACACTGAACCTAATTGTATCTGATGAAATGTATCGATTTTCATGAGAAAACCCTAATCATTAAAAAAAATAATGAATTATTTATTTATTTATGAAATGCATGATGAAATTTGAAACTTACATTTTCAATATCATAATGAAGACCACGAATAGCAAAATCTGGAATGTAATCAAGCAATTCAATATCTTTTGGATACTAAATTTTGTTGTTGTTGTTGTTGTTTGAAGAAATAAAAACAAAACTATCAGATTATAATTGTTTTAAAAATTTATCAATAATTTAAATACCAACCTGAAATTTATTAATCAACACATCACGACCTAAATCATAAATAAGATAATCAAGTGATTCTTTATAGCAGGCCAATGTATAATCATAATCAAAACCATAGATATCGATATCGGATAATGATAATTCATTATTAGTAAATACACCTTTTGGATCTACTTCACCACCACTATATGTAGCTATTACATTGAAAAATAAACAATCAATTTTTTTCTTTAAATTTTATTTTTTTTTAAAAATCAAACCTTTGAATGTTGATTTATAAATCTCGAGAATTTCGGTTTTTGTAAAAAAATTACTTTTATTTTCACTTTCAGTAATGAATTTTTCATCATCACTACTGCTGCTGCTGCTGCTGCTGTTATTATTCGAATATTTACGTTTTGATTGTCGATTCGTTGATTGTAAATTTTGTATATTCGAATTTTTCAATATCACATTATTATTATGGCTAATATTATCCTGTAAATCTGTAGCTAATGTTTGTAAAGCTCTATATTGTATACGACTAGGTTGAACTCTATTAATAATCAATGTCATTTGACGATTGATTGTATTCGTCATTCCAGCGACCAATTGTCGACAATGACATAATTTGATTGATGATGTTGATGATGACCATTTTAGCAACATTTTCATCATCTAACATCGAAAAAAAAACAAATGAAAGACTTATTAGAAGAATTTCAAAAAAAATGATCAATTCAACAATGAAAACATTCACAGATTATTGTTGTTGTTGTTTATATTTCGAGGATTTTTTAGCAACAACAACAGCAACAAAAATTTCAAGGCACCGGTGTCTTCTACAAATCTCATAAACAAAACTGTATCCATTCATATCAAACATGATACCATGAATATAATGATGATCATCATCATCAACCGATCAAAACCATTTATAATCATAATGATTACTTATTAATCACATATTATTATCGATTTGATTGAAACAGAATAATTCTAGTCAAACAATTTGTCATTTATTTTCATTTAAAATATATCGATTATTTCAAATAAAAAAATAATTCAATGAAACAATATAAATAATTTTGATGCAGAATGGGAGAGAAAAACACAATAATGGATTTTACAAAATTCTATCAACTATCGGTTAATTATTAATCATCATTAAAAATAATAGAAAGAAGAAATGTTTACAAATTTCACAACTTTTATAATTAGAATTATATTTCAAAAAAAAAAATTTACATATTAATTTTCATAGATTTTTTTTCATCTCGCTTTTTTTCAAAAAAAAAGCAAATATCAAATCGAATACAGTTGTGATGTGATAATAGATAATGTGTGTTTGTGTCTGTGATTTTTTTTTTAAATGTGATGAAGAAAACATAGAAAATGATCGATTCATTTAAATCAATATTGACGATTATCGTCGATGTGTGTGTGTGTATGATGGGAATTTTTTTCCAAAAAAAAATAAAAATAACATAAAAAGAAAATTTGTACTAAATTAAATGAAATCTTTTTGTTTTTTCCCATCATCATTTATTTTTATTCAATAAAAAAAATTAAGCTTCGGTCAATTGTCCATCTTTTACATTGGTTGTTATTTCAAGTATTTTTATCGCTGGTTTTACTGTGTTGTTGTTATCATTGTCATTAGTATTGTTTTTTTGATTTATCAATTCTTTTGATTGTTTTTCGATTGATTCGGAATTCGATGTACTTTCAATATCGATTCGTGCAATTTTTATCGGTTTTGGATCAACATCATCTACTTCATCATTTTCATTATCAATCTTAGCGACATTACCATTGCCATCTTGCTCATTTTCTTTAGCAGATTTTTCTTGTTCTTGTTGTTGCTGTTCTTGTGTTTCATTTGTTTCTTTCTCAGCATCTTTTGTTTCTTCGGTATCATTTTCACGATTTTCTTCATTATTTTCCTCATTATCATTCTGTTGGATAACGAATGAAGGCCAATAACCATCTTCAAGTTTTCGTAGTTTAATCTCAATCTTTGACCTACACGGACTTATTTCATAACGTGATTCATTTGAATTGATTTCCTTATACAATTTAAATGTGACATTAGTAACGGCTGTAGGTAGATTACAAATCCAATTTAATGAATTATCTGTCAATATAATATTGATATCATCTTCATAGAATAAAAACGAACGATTTTCCATCAATTTTATGTTCGGCACATGAATAACAATGTTGATATATTTATCATCCTGATACCAATTATAATCCAATGATATTGGTTCCATCATCGATGCTTCTGGATGATTTGGATTATTCGTACGTGTCTGCGTAATAGTTATCGCATTCGTACTATTCTCTTTCGATTCAAATTCTGCAGCCGACAATAGACTATTAAGCTCTTTCTTTGCATCATGTAATGATACAATGCCAATAAATGATTTTGGTCGATTACCACTTTTATCCGGTATTATTTCCAAACTATGCCATCGTTTACGATCGGCTTTTTTTAGATTGATAACCAATTTCGATGTATCCACTGCCCAATTACTATCCGGCACGACAACTGTTTTATAAAGATTAAAATGCATACGAAATTGTCGTCCATCCAATAATTGACACATGACATCAAGTGCATCATTAATAATGGTCACTTTTACATCATTCTCTTTAAGATTGGCTATCCTAATCGTTATGATTACATGCGATGTTGTTTGATACCAATCATATGGCACACGGGCGTTTCCAAAATTACCCGGACTTTGTTCTAACATAATTTTTTATGTAAAGAATTTTATCTAATAAAGAATAGAAACGAAAAAAAAACATTAAAATAAAAACAATTGTAAAATGTCGAATGCATCAAATTTTGATCTTTTATCCATACCAATACAATTTCGAATGAAAATAAACTATAAGATGTTTAATAAATACCAATTACCGGGTGCAATTAATTAGGATTGTTTAATCAAAAAATTTTGATATTCAATCGTTATTTGGTCAAATTGATAATTATTTTTTTTTCCCAAATCAAAATGTTACAAAATAACGATAAATGAACAGTGCGAAAAGCCAACGCAAAAAAATTGAAACACAATCGGATAATGGAGAAAGACACGAGATGGAGACGAAAGATGTACGGCTCACAGTTATGGACTCTATCAACAATTTTGGCCACATAAATGAATGGAGAGGGAGAAAGAGAGAGAAAAAGAAAGAAAGATATCGGCTCATTGAGCTATCGGCATAGATTATTACTATGGTCATGACGGTAATGAATGCCAAACATCACCGATATCATTAAGTATCCTGAATAATACTCGCGCGCTCTTGCCCAACACTGACAATCGTAGTGGTAACCCTATTTGTCTCAGTTTTTTTTACATTATCATTGTGATTGTTTAAAATTACCTTGGTTCCATTCGTAAACATACGCTGAATACAATATTCCCGTGTATCGTATTTCCAAACTTGGATAATAGGGTTATTAATGTATTTGCCGATTGTTACAATGATAATGGACGAGAATATCGATAGTTTTTTGTTATTTTAATTTGGATTTTTTTTGCCGCATGATATTGTTATTTATTAGTTTTTTTTGCAAATTCTTAATTACAAACATTAATAAATAAATTATAAAACAAATTCAACTATGTCATCTATGGTAGCAAATCAATCAGCTCGATCAGGTCCAATGGCTGACACTGAAGATAATGTGGATCGCGAAAAGGTTAGTTTTCTTATATGAAAAACTGACAATTGAATTCGATCATAAATTTTTTTTAATACAAATTTTCCAGAAATGTCCATTATTATTGCGTGTGTTCATCAATACGAGCGGTAGACACTATCATCTTTCGGAATATAGTCGTGGTAATGCGCCCAGTAAAGAAGTACAGATTTATACATGGATGGATGCAACATTGAAAGAATTGACCGGTCTGGTCAAAGAAGTAAATCAAGATGCACGAAAACCTGGTACACGATTCGATTTCGCTCTAGTATTTCCTGATGCACGTAGTTCAACATATCGAATTCGTGATATTGGTATGACAATAAATGGACGAAAAGAACCGGATGATATGAAAACATTGGCACAATCGCGATTTCAAATTGGCGATTTTCTCGATGTAGCCATTTCGAGTGGCGTTGGTCCACGCGAATCCGATTATGATCGTACACGTTTATCTATTGGCAGTGGTGGTGGTGGACCTGCACGTGCTCGTTATAATGGTGACCGTGATCATTTTGTTGATCGACGGGACCGTAGAGATCGTCCTTATTGATTTTAGAGTTTTTTTGCATTTTTTATTCATCTTAAACATTAAATTCATCATTTGTATAATAAAACAAAAAATTACTTATTGAATTCTATTGAATTGGTTGTTTGAGTGCAGCTTTTGGATCATCACGATAAAGTAAAAAATGTCCCTGAATTCTAGCCATTGAAATTGGTCGTGGATATGTACGGCGAACATGGCGAACAAATTCATCACCATCACTCGACGAACTTGTTGGAAAAAATCTTAAAAATGCTCGTTTCAATTGTCCATCACTAGCATCATCAATGAGTACTTTAACATCAACACGACCAGGTCTCGTTAATGTATCATCCAATAATTCCAAATGATTTGTGGTCATCATTAGTATTCGGGCATCTGATCCAACTACGCCATCTAATGTATTCAATAAACCAGAATATGTAACACGCGAAAGACCTTCCCAACGTTCTGGATGTCCATCATCCGTTCGTGGTCGTACCGAACAATCAATATCTTCAAGTAATACAAGCGAATCTTTTGGTGCAGTATTGACTAGATGTAATAAACGATCGTCGGTCAATGATGGATCGGATAGATTAAGTACACAAATCGAATAATTAAGATGACCAGCTAATGCAAATATGAATGAAGATTTTCCAGATCCAGGTGGTCCATGCAGTAAATAACCACGACGATATGGTATACCACGTTTATGATACCATTCGGCTGATGATAAAAATTGTTCAACATCAGTGACTATTTTTTCGGCTACACCATTATCAAGTATGACCGAATCGATTGGTCGTTTTGAACGTGCCTGTCCGAATACTCTCCATTCATGGCCAAATGGTACGTATGTGGCCGTTTTGTTTGCCGCTTCAGCCAATGCTATTGTTCGTGCTTCATCAAATATAGAATTGAATATCGATTTATCTCGACCTAAAGTGGTCAACGTAACAACTTCATATGGCCGACCGGCTAGAGCATCCATTTGTTCACGAACACGTTCACAACGAAATATTGAACCATGATATCGAAAAAAATGAATACCTGGAGATGGAATATAAGCAAATCGTGTAGAAATTCGTCCGGCCTGATCTTCATAGAATTCCGTACACATTGAAACATGTTGTGTTCGATATGATTGCCGTGTGATCCATTCCAAAATCCATTGATAACTTTTATCTGATCAAAATGTTTTAAATTCCGAAAAATTACAACAAAAAATTATTTTCAAACCTTTTGAATTAACTTCGCAAGTAACAAATGCATAACGTCGAACACCGGCCCAAGCAATAATGGCAGCCTTACGACTAGCAGCTAAAGCTGCCGTCAAACCAACCAAACCAAAACCGGCGCCAAAATATGGATTATTCTGGAGCGATCCGATTAATTCACCGATAGCCATCATTGAAAATCCTGACCGGGCGACTATTTTAACCGAATAGATGTGACTAAAATTTAAATTTTGAAAATTTTATTTTATTTTTTCAATAAAACTTTTACCAAAAATAATCTGCAGTATAAAAAATGCATAAAAATGTAAGATAGTGTTATTTTTAAAAAATAATTATAAAAAACATGTTCATTGATAATGAATTAAATTGATGCCAAACTAGTATGATGTTGTGGCTGATATTCAAAATCAAAATCCGGTGGTGATGGTGGCAATTCTGGTGCTTGATCCGGGATATTTAAACCTTCAATATCGAGCAAACGAAGTTTTACATCTAGATCTAATAACATTTCGACATCTTTTTTAGTTTCATTACTGGTCATATCATGTTGCAATAATGAATTTAGACCATCAATCCAATAATCGAATATTTCGGGTTTTCCGGCTACAAAACATAACGGTGGTGATTGTTGTCCATTAATCGAATCATCATCACGTGGTATCAGTGCAAATGCCAATGACGTGGTTGTTTTTTTACTCTTTGAATCACGCATATGTGGACATTCTTTACCAACAACCAAACGACCAGCATCAGCAATGTCAAACTTTGAAGTAAGTTTTTCATCTAGATTTTTACAATCTTCATCCACATCACCATATAATAATGTTTTATGATTCGGTGATAGACGACAATACCAGAATTTATCTTTTAATCTTTGACCTAAAAATTTAAAATTGAAAAAATCATATTAATCTGATAGAAAACTTTTATATACCTTTGGCAGTGTATTTATCAAATCTTGTACCACGAACAAGATAATTTAGACGATTTTCTCGTACAATTGTAGTCATTTCAGGTAATAATAATCGTTTTAATTCTTGAATTGCAGGCATTTCTTCTTTTCGTTGTTCACGTTTTAAACGTTCTTCACGCCAACGATGAGATATTTCTGTGTAGCTTATTTTGGATAATTCTTTTTGAAAATTTTCAAAAGAAACTGTAGCATTAGGATTGGCAAGAATTTTATGAAATTTTTCGGCTAGAAAATCACAAGCTATATCTAGATCATTAAAAGTGGCATGAATTTCATGCCATGTTCGATTGAAAAGCGATAATCCTATGCTGAAAAATTCTTCCAATGGTTCTTCATGTTTCAATAACATAGGATAAAATTCATGTCCTTCATCACGAGGTGGTTTTCCAATACCCAATAGTTCGACAATCAGTGTAAGTATTCGAAATGATGCAATTATCAATGGACAATCATATGGTCTAGTTTCACCCGATGATGATTGATTGGCCATTATGAAACGAACAAATGATTCGTTATGTTTACCTGAATAATAACAAAGAAGATTTAATATCCATAATCCGGGTGGATCGGCAAAAATTTCGGCCGGTGTAGCTGGTGTGCCATTTGGTTTGGATGGCAGTAGACCAAATCGATCGACCGTTTCATTATTGTTGAGCATAAGAAGTGTATCATTGAATGAATTTGATTTATTCGAAACGGTTGAATTCGAACGATTCAAACCACAGGTGTTTGATGATTGACTATTTGTTGTTGTACTGTTTGTATTGAATTGATTTTTAATTAAATTATCCATTTCACTATCATAATTTCGACGTATTTCACGCCATTTTTCATTCGCTTGCTCGGGTGTAGCACCTTGATTTAATTGTTCATCATACGAACGAAGTAACAATGTTTGCAATACATATAATTGATGAGTGATTTCACTACCGTTATCACTGATTAAGATGAAAAATTAAAGATTGAACAAAAAAAAATGATCATCAAACAACAAAGACTTACGTAACATAACGTAGTATAGTTTCTTTAAATATTCGAAATTGATCTCGACGTTTAGATGGTTCTTGATTTTGTAAAATAGCATTAATCAAAGCCAATACATTTTGTTGAATATCGGGAAATTTTTCATGTTCCAATAAGAGTGATAATTTTTTTATCGGTAATTGTTCTCGAATTACTGGCAAGAATAATTTTGCAGCATTCAAAATGGCAGATTCAAGTATACTCAGTGATAGAATAAGAATTCGACGCTCTGCATCTGGTATCAAAGATGAATGATTTAATTGTTGTTGTTGTTGCTGAGATGGTTGAACCAGAATCATAAATTTATTACTGGAAATTAATTCAATAATACGTTCGATAAAATTTTTTTCAATTACAGCATTCGGTCCGAACCATCGTATAATATCATGTTCCAAAATTTTGGCAATTATATCCAAAATATAACGTAATTCAAATTCATTGAATTTATTTGCAACAAACGATGTGATTAGTAATTGAAATCCTTTTTGTTCATCAAATTCGGCAACAAATGCTTGATCCGATGCATAAACACAAATTTTTTTCAATAATGGTAAACGATCTTGACATGTCCATTCACGTAATGATTGTTGAAATTCTTCCAATAATTTCGATACAACATATCGAACTGAGTAATAAAGTTCAATAACAGCACCTTGTGTAAAACATGAACGATATTGATGTTCTTCAGTAATAAATCTAAACAAATGTTGTGTTTCATCCAATGTCATAATAAGTGAATATTCTTTTTTTGCATCAAGATTCCAGAATTCACGACTATAATCAATAATTGATTGTATAGATGTTTTTTGACCTTTTGGCAATTGATATAGAAACCAACTCAACTAAAACCCACCACCAAAAAAATTGATTGAGAAATTCGATTCAAATAACCAATAATTAAACAATGAAATACCTTATCCGGTGATTTATTTTCATCTCTAAGTTCGGGATGAAGTTGTATTGCAAATTTAATAAGACTATTACCACCATCTTTAACATTGGATGAATTTTGTTCCATTTATGATCATATAATAAAATGTTTTTATTATGATTATTTATTTGATTTCAGAGCGGAAGCAAAACAAAAAAATTCTTTTGCTTAGTGGTTTGTTGTTGTTGTTGTTGTCACTGATTTGTTGTGACAACAATATATTAAAATGACAGTTAAGCTTATGATATCTTATCAAAAAAAAAACATAAACAGATTTCCTTTGGATTTGGCATGAAGGTGGAGTCAATATTGCATACGACTGATCACGTGATTAAAAATTTTACGAATTTTTACGAATGAATTTTATTTTTAAAAAATCTCTTGATATTTATGGAAAAAATTTTTTTTTTTGTATACAAAAACAAGTTTGGAATAATTCAGTTATTCATGGGTTATTATTGTGCTCCCTTTTTAGTGTAAATTGAATAATTTATCTATTTTTATGATGTTTTTGTTGGCCATCCAAAGGCAAATAAATTGAACATAATCCAAGAAATTGATTGATTGAGCTATTTAGGAGGAAAAAAAATTAATTTAAGCAAACAATCAATGATCGATTATCGATGACATTATTTACCTAGCCATCAAATAACGATGGATGATTGGTTCAAAAATGAAAATCATTAAAGTATACCACACAATTGCAAAAATTGTTCCAATGATTGCACCATGAATGCATTGATGCACATAATGATATAACAAATATGTTCTGTTAAAAAATAAACAATCAATCAATAAACAAGATTAATTAAAAGTAAATATTACCTGGAATGAAATACAAATGCAAAGCTAATCAGATCAAGACAAATGAGCATAAAACAGAACCAATATGGTTTCAATCGGCTAAGACGAAAACAAACACAAAATGATGAATAAACAACAAAGAATGCCATAAATTGACAATGACTTGATGGCCATCCATATGACGATGATCCAGATGAAGTTAAATGATCACGAAATTTATTTTCAGGTCGACCAGCTTGTGCATGATTCTTGAGTAAATAATTGATTGCTTCATTGATTAGCTGTCCAATGAAGAATAAAATCTATTTCAAAATAACAAATTAGAATCATTCGATTCAATAAATTGCATATACTAACCACATGAATATCGCGAACAAAAACTGTCAATGTAAAAAAAGCAATGATTATGGCGAATGGAAGTAATGATACAAAGGCTAGAAAATTTCCATATAAATCACCTGTAATAATATGAATCAATAAATAAAATTATAACTAACCCATTATTTATACCTTTTGGATAGACTACCAATGTTAAAGAAAGCGTTTTCCATTCTTCTGACATGATTTTTATCGATAAGTTTTACCGAAATAGAAAGTGTGGCATTTAAATCAAACATATGTTAATCACATGCTTAAAGTACAAAAATTATCGATAGTATCGTCTTCTAAATCTTGTCATTAATCAAAAAAGTGAATTTTTTTTAAATTTCAATTCGAGGTCGTCGTTGTCGTTGTCGATGTGTATGGTTTGAATGGATATGGTAATAGCCAAAGTATCACCGGAATATTTCCAAACAATTCTCGTAAAATAATCGTACGACTTTTGGATGTAGGTTGCAATGTTGTATTGGGAATATTATAATCTCTTCGAGATAGATGACTTCGATCAGAAGAATTATTGCTAAAAATGTTTTGTAATTGATCAAAGAATACGGCTATTGAAAATATACCCAAAACAAATGAAGCCAATGTAATTAGGCCAATGTGTACACTGAAAGCAAACAGAATGAAACAACAACAAAAAAAATGGATAATAATAAAATAGAATATAGTTATTTTGAAATACTAACATTCGAATCGGAATACCGGGTGGTATTATAATTAATGATAAAATGATCGATGCAATCGTATAAAGACAACCTATGACTGTATAAATGAATGTAAATATAATCATTTAAATCGAATAAATTGATAATACCTACAGGCATATGATGTGAATTGTAGAAAATATTTTTGATTATATTGACCAACACAATTATTGATCCATGGACAATGATGATCCATACGTAATATACAATGACGACATATATGGCAATGATGTGCACCAAGTGGTCGATAAAGATGACAATGTTTACAATATGTCCAATCTAATTCATACGTATAATTCGGTTCGATATTTTCAAAATTATCCGCTGTCGAATACATTGTTTCGTTGAAATCATTGGATGTTGGATCCATAATGTCTATTTGCAATAAGGGAAAAATGTGCGAATTGATGGATATTTCATTGAAACAAAAAACTTACAATCAATTTCGCAGAAATTTTGAGGTTTTTGTTGTTGTTGTTGTTGCATATAATGTTGCGGGGTTTGTTGATGATTATTGACGTTATTATTAATATTGCTCATATCAATAGAACAATTATTCGTGACATTGACTACAGGAAACATTCGATTCAATGGATCAGATGGTAATCTTTTAAGTGATGTTTGACGATGATGGCGGCTACGACGACTTCGACGATGTCGATCAACACGTCCAGCATCACAAAATACACACATTAAATGAGACCAAGTGATCATGAAAAGACAAAGCTGATAACTACCGATCAACGATATATATGGTATAATACTGATGCAAAATGAAAAAAAAAATTGAAATATTCTTTTTTAAAATCTAAATTTCAAAAACAGATTTTCAAATAATACCTGAAATATGAATATGGAACAATGTATAAGATGTAAACAAAATCAACATAACCGATTAGACCATAGAAAAATGCAAAACAAATCATTCCAAATGGTTCAAAATTAAAAGCCATTGTTTATCGATTGATGAATAGATCCAATCCATTCATTAAATAGAATTTTTTTGTTTGTTTCAATTTTTACAATTATTAAATGTTTATCGGATGGGGTGATACACCTCAAAGCAAAAAAAAAATCAGTTGATGATGTTCGAATGGCGCAGTCGTATGATGAATTCGGATCTTAATTATTTTTTATTCGAAATATATATAGTTGTTTGTTGGATTACAATTGGAATTGTATCTTTTATTAATTACATTAGAAAATAAAATCAATCTATAATCAAAAAAAAAAAATTATTCAATAATTTACAATAGACTAGAAGATTATGATGAACGTAAACTTTTAAACATTTTCAGAATTTTTTCCCATGAATAAACGAATGATTTTGTCGGACCAGCAGTGAAAAAACCTTTGATAGTTTGTGTTGCGGATGATTTGAAAACAATCCATTGTATTGCACGTTGTAGATAACGACGATATTCAAGATCGGATGCAACCGAATGCATTAAATCTTCCATATCGAATTGATGTACAATTTTTCGTGCTTTCCATCGATTTCTTGTATATTTTCGTAATGTATTTTCGGCTAACCATTTTTGGCCAATATATAATTGAACAGTTTTCGGTAATAAATTCAGATGCCATTGAATGGAATTGTTTGAATAATTTTGTTCAAATTTCCAATCAATATCTTCGTCGGATTGATTTTCTGACCATCGTATTAGATGTTTAAATCGATCACTTTGAATTATCGGTTGATAAACAAAACGAAATCTATTAATTTGTGGCCATACAATTTTTTCAACTTTAGAACGATCTTCACCGAACCACATACGAAAATCACCCGAATAACTTAAATTGGCAATAGTCATATAAAGCTGTTTTTCGGTAAATTTTTCCGGTAACAAAAGTAAGGCAGCATGTAATGCACTTTGACGATTAAGTTCAATAGCATTGTTAAGATTGCGAACGGAAAAATCTTGTTCATCATTTGGTTTGATATTTTCATGAAGTGTCAAGATTGGTTTATGTAGACGACCGCTTAGATAAAGTGTATCCCAATCTAAAAGATCGTTAAGAAAATCTTCTGTAGAAATTATACCATATTTAATACATAAATCTGTTTCGATTGGTATTAATGTATTATAATATACTTTTGCTCCAAATTTTCTCTGTATATTCGAAATGTTTTTTGGACCAAGATAACGAAGTCCAGAATAATGTGACCAATTTTTTGACATATTTGCACGATGCCATCTGATTGGATCATCAACAGCTAAAACTAAATCAACCATTCGAGATTTCGATGATAATAATGATGAAGACGATGAATTGATGTTTGTTTCATTTGGTACATGTTGATCGAATACAGCCGAACCATATGCAAAACAATAAGATATTTCATCATGTAATGGAAAAATGTTTAATAAAGATTTTAATTTTTGAACATTACGAATCATTTCGTTGAAAACAAATTATAATCGTTGTGATGGTCACATGTGTCCTCGCTTGTATTTTGATGTGTGTGCGACCGGGCGGCTATTTAGATCTTATGGTATATCAATGATATACAAAGCGCGAAAATTTCAATTTCATTTTGTTTTGCATTTTTGTGTTTTTTGCAATTGTTCAATGTTTTCTTTTTCTGTAAACATTTGTATCGTCAAGCAGCAAATTTTAACTGAAAATGAAATTTAATTTTCAAAAATCTCTCATCAAAAAATCAATAATGTCTACCGTTAATAATGATAATAATAATAATCGATTAATTAATTTATTGAAAAAATATTTTAATCATCAATTTGATCTGAAACCAAACGATATTATTCAACCAAATCATATGATTGTAATCAAAATATTACAAATGATTATAAATAAATTTAATGATGATGATGATGATGAATTATTATCAAATAATAATAATTATTATAATGATTTTGATTTTAATTATAAATCAATGAATGAATTGGTAAAATTATTGAAAAATTATTGTCCATTTAATCAATCTTCAATGGTTACTAATAATAATAATAATAATAATGATTATAATCATAATCAACAAAATCTAAATCATTCGATTGTGAATTATATTGAATTTGATCTTTATCAATTAATTTTTCAAACAAAACCAAATGGTCGATCATTTCAAAATCTGTTGAATACACTTTGTCAGGCGAAAAAATTAAAACACGAAAAACAGGTAAATTTTTATGTTTGTTTTTTCTTTAATTTCATTCAAATATTTTTTCATTTTTTAAAAAATCATTTAGATACTTTTGGAACAATATCGTACAACTATTATTAATCTAAAAGAATTACGACAAAAATTCGATGAATGTCGACAATATCATTTTGAATTTCAATCCGAATCAAAACGTTTGATTGAAATTAATAATTTTTTACAACAAAAATTAATTGAACGTAAAAAATATCGACAACAATTGACTGAACAAAATTTACAAATAATAAATAAAATGAATGATACTATACGTATTGATGGTGGGAAAAAATAAAAATAAAAATCCGGTTATTAAATTTTTTTTATTTATTTAATATTTTTAATTTCTCACATTCAATATTTGTGTTGAAAATTTATCATCAAAAATCCATTACTTTTTATTATAACAAACAATTTTTAATATTTGTTGATTTTTTTTCAAATCTATAAATCCATTGACGTTTATCACGCACACATTACCAAAGTTTTACAATATAATTTTATGTTTTTTTTTGCGTCAATAAATCAAAAACATTTATAACATAGTCCATTTGAATGCAATAAAAATTACTTCAATTAAAAAAACAAACAAATCAATCTGATCAATGTGTTTATCTCGTGGAAGAAGAAGAAAAACATTAAAATTATAATTAAAAACAAGAAATGATTGATTGATGAATGAAGCAAAGAAAAACAGGAAAAAAAATTATAAAATCAAATCATATTTATAAAGATTTTGAAAACTTTTGATAAATTATGATAATAATGGATTAGTGTGAATTTGGGTGTCTGTATCGTTTTTCATATTTTATATTTCAAATTTTTTGAATCCAAATCAATGCTTCAATTGACACAATATAAAAAAAATGTACAAGTGAAATAAAATCCAAAATTTCTTCAAAAGATGATTATAATGAATTAGTTGTTGATGATGTTGATGTTGTTGTTGTTGTTGTTGTTGTTGTCGTCGTCGTCGTAAGATCACATTGATTTTGAGTTATTATTCTTTGTTTATCATCATCAAAATTATCATCACATTGAAATGGTATCGATGTTGTTGATGATTCTGAATCAATTGTTGAGCTTCGATATATGATCATTGGTTTTGTTTGTTCATCATTATGATTATTGATAATGATTGAATGATCATAATTATTTCTTGATGAATCATTATGATTATTCCTGAACATTATCGATGTTGATGATGATGATGATGATGAAGGACCATTCAATGTTTTTGTCATTAATGATTGATCCGTTATTGATGATAATAAACAATGTAATTTTTGTGATGATGATGTTTGTATCATTAATTTTATATAAGTACATTGGACCGGTTTATATATTGCCAATAATTTTAATGCCTCTTGTACAGGAAACCAACGACGTTTTCTACCTAAATTAATAAAAAATAAAAAAAAAGTAAAAAAATAGTTAAGAATAATCAATTTGAACTTTTTTACTTTTAGAATCTTCATAATCTTCAAGTTCTTCATGTACTTCAAGTACAAAAACTGATGTACGATGTTTTCGTTTTTGATTCTATCAACAAAAGCAAAAAAAAAACAAATTAGATACGATTTCAGAATAAACAGAATTAAACACAAATTAAAATAGAAAAAAAATTAATGTACCTCCTCATCGCCTGTATCACAACATACCTCGATGTCACCTAATGAACGTTTTACAACACCTTTAACACCAGCTTCTTCAACAGTTTCACGAATAGCAGCTTGTGTTGGATCTTCATTCGGTTCAACACCACCGCCCGGTACAATCCAATATTCTGGTGCACGTGTACTGGTGACAAGCATAATCTATTAAGAATTTTCAATGAAACAAAAAAAAATCAATCATATCGAACCTTTTTGGAAATTCAATTACAATTTAACTAACCTCACTTTCATCCGGATCATGTACACATAAACAGGCTGCACGTCGACGAAAACCATCCTGATCATATGTACGAATTTGTTTTTCTTTAACCATTTTCTTTTTTTAAATTTAAATTTCTTTTGAATTGAATGATAATTTTTTTTTGATTGACAAAATTTTTTTTTTAAAATGAAAATAAAAACTCAACCAAACAACAACAAAAAAAACAATACGATTTCCAAGGATAACAACGATAATATAATCAACGATAATCGACGATAAACAAACAAACAAAAATGAAGAACGAAGAAGAAAAATTTCGTCAACTTAATATTAGTCGAGTATTATAATTCATTATGTTGAGTGGAATAACATTTCATTGTGTAAAAAAATGATTAATAAAATTTTTTTTCGTCAAATAATTATTTGAGCATCGTCTTCAATTTTCCAAAAAAGAAAGAAAGCAAGGAAAAAAACAATCAATCAATCAATATATTGCGGTAAGATAATCATAATCATTTGATGATATTTCAATTTTTATTTTATGACTTTGATTTTGATTTTTTCTTTTTCTGATAAAAATGATGATATAATGAGAGGGAGAGAGATGATAATTATGATGATTATGATGATGATGAAGAGGATGTGACGAGAGACAAATCAAATATGAGAATCTAAAAAGAAAATCAACAGGATAAAACAACATAGATTTGATTATTTAAGAAAAATCACATTTTGTATTTATCAATTATTTTTTTTGAAATTCTGATTAACTAAAAAAAAGAGAAAATATCATATATCCTTGTTGTTGTTTATCGGTTAAACAACAATAACAACAACAACTCAAACGGCAATGACATCATCATCATCGTTGACAACAACAAACAACAACAGTAGACAATTCTTTTAATTTATTCATTTTGTATTTTTTTGTTTGTTTGTTTGTTAATTACAATCTAATTATCGCTAATTGAATTATCAAACGATGATGATGATGATGATAACATGCCTTCAATGGAAAACTGGTTATAACCAAACAAACAAACAAACAAACATTTCATGATTGATTGATTGATTGATTGATTAAAAAACAAGATTCACACACACACACACACACACACATCATGCAATTACGCACACACACACCAGACATATTCAAGATCGCAAATCGTTACCGAAGAAAAACTAAAAAAATATCATCGTATTTGTTAATTGAATTGTTAAATGGTAAAATTGGTTGGTTAATGATAATAAACTGGTGGTACTTTTGTGAACAAACAAACAAACAAAAAATTATCATAAACGTAGCGGTATAATGTCAACAACAACAAAAATCGATGATTTAAAGAAATTCCAAAAAAAATTGAATCAATCAAATCACATTAGGATTCAGAATGTTCAAATGTTAAATGAATATCATTAACAAATTTCATTGACAATAACATTACAGCACAACAGCAGCAGCATAGCCAAAACATTTTTTTTCTCAATTTCTTCAACAACCAAAAAAAAAAATTCATCGACGTAAACAATAATTCTTGATGCAATGATGATAATGATGTTTTATTCTTCAAAAGATCTTTTTTTTTTGACAAAAATATATTTACGAACCAGAGAGAGAGAGAAGATTGATAATAAAATTCAATAACAGAATGATGATGTCATAAAAGATGCGAAAACAAAACTTTCACACAAAAACACATCTACCTTAAAAAAAACAGGCAATGATGATTCTCAATCAAGAAGAATTATAAAAAAAAAATTCTTTCGGAGAAAAAAAAATGGTATCAAGTTTTTTTTTCTCATATCATACACCTCTTTCTTTCTCTCTCACTTACTTGATCATTCATTTGATTTCGCATTGTCGCATAAAGAATATTCTCTTTTCTATAGCAAAACAAATAGATAGGAACAATATATACCCGTATACAAACAAATATAAATTACATGCGCTAAAATTTTCCAGAATTTCAGAATATAGATTAAGAGAAAAATAGGAGGAGGGAAAAGGCATAAGTTTATTTGGTTTAACACACAAAAAATGTTCCAGGAAAAAAAATTATGACATTTGAGGAAAAAATGAAACAATGTTCTAAATATAGATTGCAAGAATGATCGATTCAATGATAATGATATAAATATGGATATGGTTAAACAAACAAAATAATAACCATTAATATAATGAACTTGTTTACCGTAAATAATACGTAATAGTGATTCGAACGAATAATTCAGTAAACAAGGTAAATCGATTTTTTTTTATTGGAAAGAAAACCGAACTATAATTCAGTTCAATATGAAAAAAAACAATAGTAATTACCATTTAAAAATTAATGGATCGATAATAATAACAACAATAATAATAAACAATTGACAACTTTGTCCAACTCTTTTTTTTTGTTTGTTTTGCTTCAATGATAATCAATTCGATCATTATTATGATTATAATGATGATGATAATGATGACTAAAATGATGATGATTTTGATAATTTGATAAAAACAATGACATTGTCATTTTCACATTTGATTGATCATTAATGATCGAAAAAGAACCACAATAAATAAATAAAATATCCGTCATCATCATCATCAAATGATCAGAATCTGATCAAAACATCGAACCATATGATGATGATGATGATGAGTATTATATTGTAACCATAATTGTTGAAATAGAATAAAATTCATTTAATTCTTGTGTTTGCTATATAATAAACGCATCTATATACACACAGATAATGAAAATATATAGGGGGGAAAAATTGTTTAGGAAAATTTGTCACCAAAGAATCGCCTTCGTCAATAACCAAAACCGAATTTTTTCTCGACAAAAAAAAACAACAAGTAAACATTATCCGGAATTTTCGTTTGAAAAAAAAATTTAACCAAATATAAATCAAGTCTTTCATTCTTAATCCTGTAAAAAAACAAAATCAATCATCTGATGATAATCAAATTCATTCATTTTCTCAACTCTATAATTTCGAATTAATAATATTTGTAATCAAATCAAATTGTTGTTGTTGTTGTTGTTGTTCAATATTTTTTTCACGTATCGAATTTGATAATTTTGGCCTGATCTCTTATTGGTTTTCCATACGGAGGTTCACATCAATCAAAAAAGAAATAGAAAAAAAAAGAAAGAACTTATCATATTCAATATAGTTTTGTTGTTCATCATCTGATCATAGGGTAAATATTATTGATTTTAAGTATTATTTGAAATTAACTGGAAAGATTTTGTTATTTTGAATCTTTTCAGATTCTCCATCATCATCATCATCGTATATTATCACTGGGTAAAGATTAATCTACGAATTTTGTATGGAAAAAAGAAAATAGAAAATGAAGACAAGTCAAAATGATGAAAAACAGCAACAATGTTGTTATGAAACAACGACAATATCCACATCTAACAAATCAGCCATCAATTGCAATAATGATGATTCGACTATTGAATTAGAACCATTTATTCATCAAGTTGGTGGTCGCAGTACAATACTTGTATTAGGCAAATATATCTGTAAACCAATCAATGATCGTGAATTATTGTTCTATGAAAGTATTGATAATTATGCATCAACATTAAAACCCTTTATACCACAATATCATGGTACAATATCGGTAAATTTTGAAGAAAGTAATGATGGCTATATGATTATTACAACAAATGCTCGTTTGCTTGAAGTTTCGTTATCGTCATCATCATCATCATTATTATCATCATCATCATCATCAGAATTATCAAGCAATAATATAAAGAAAAACAATTTAAATGAAAAATCATTATCATCCGATTCTCCTTATCAAAAATTTGTGACCAAATATCGTATCAAATTAGTTCGACCAATCAAAGAGATAATAATTGAAAGTCATGAACAACAAGATTTCGAATATAATCATCAACAGCATATTCTATCAAATTTAGAATCGGCAAATAATCAATTGAATTCGATTCTACGGAATAAAGAAAGTACAAAAATCAATGATTCCAATTCACCAAATCAAAGTTCATCGCCATCATCAGCCGGTACAACAACAACAACAGCAGCAGCAGCGGTAACAACAACAACAAATCTAAATCGTTCGCGTTCGACATCGATTTCAATACCAAATTTTGAAGATGGTAATTTTAATGATTGTAATGATCTATCAACATTATTTGATAATCAATTCTTCATCAATGAAGTGGGACAAAATGGTTTTAGCGGTAGCAGTAATAATTGTTGTAGCAATAAACGTAAAATACAATCATCACCCGATAGATATAAACATTCGATAGATGGTCATCCGAATCAGAATTCTCAACAAACAATGGATAATAATAATTCATCGTCAACGATAGCTAGCTCTCGATCAATTAGTTATACTAATCTATCAACAACAAAACATAATCCATGGGTTTTGAAAACTTTTTCCGTACTAAGTGAATTCAATGAATCGATGAAAGAACAAAGTATTTATCGTTTTTGTTTTTTTTATTACTTTGATTTGATTTAAACTTATCTTTTTTTTTGTTCAAAACCATACTATAATAATTTAGAATTTATATTGTTGGAAAATCTAACATCTGATTTTGAATATCCATGCATAATGGATTTGAAAATGGGCACACGTTTACATGATGATCTTGCAACACAAACAAAAATCCAAAGTCATGAATCCAAAGTTAATGAAACTACTTCAAGGGCACTTGGTTTACGTGTTACTGGGATTCAGGTGAGCATTTTTTTTAATTATAAGGTTGCAGATTTTTCCTTGTTATGAGTCGTTTAAATCTATTCCACTATTAATTAGATCTATGATAAAGAATTGGATAAATTCATCTGTTATAATAAATATTATGGCCGTAAATTAACACCCGAAACATTTCGTTCAACATTGAAAATGTTTGTTTCAAATGAAAATTTTTACAATCATCATAGATTATTAGATAAAATGATTGAACGATTACAAAAACTTCGTACAATTATTGTTGGATTGGATAGTTTTCGTTTCTATACAAGTTCATTATTATTGATTTATGAAGGAAATATATGCCAATGTAATAATGATGGTGATCATAATAATGATGATGATTGTTGTTGTTGTTGTAATCAAGATCCCGATAAACCAATGTTCGATGTTCGTCTTATTGATTTTGCACATTCTACACATGCCAATCTTTGTTATAATAATGATAATAATACTCATTTATCATCACCAAATAAATCATCAATGATTCAACATCGAGGCTATGATGAAGGATTTGTTTATGGTCTTGATAATCTTATTAAAATTTTATCATTATTTCGTAAAGAATATAATAATGATGAACAGAATTTAAAATGAATAAAAAATTATTATCAATTCTATTTAATTTTTAAAAATTATTATTTCTTTTGTTTTTTTGTTGGACAACAGAAGGCAGTAAAATCTCATTGGTCAAAATGATAAATACATATCAATTTCCTTTCAACAGCAAAAAGTTACATAGTTAGATAAGGATAGAGACAAATTATTTTCTTTTATTTCGAAAATAAATGACATTTTGTGTTATTAAATTTTTGATGTCTGAATGCATGCAGATATATTTTCAAACAGAAACTTCTGGTTTATACATAAAAGAATTACAAATGACACAATCATTATCTTTACATTGAATAGAACGTTCAAGAACACCGGCAAGATTATGTAATTCACATAGGGCAACATTTTTATCATTTGCAAATAATGAATCTTTGGAACAATCAATATCATTCAATTCATTCATCATATTGAATATTTCTTCATTAAATTCTTTGTAAACACGAAATTTATGTTCCGAATTATAACGCATAATAAGTGGTCGTAATGATTCAATTCGTCGTAAACAATGTTCAATGATAGGATGTTCAGAACGTAATCTTGATGACATGTTTATATAGACTGGACGTTCAGCAGTTATACCATCAACAAATCGTACTGGAGAAATTCTTTGCGAAGCAAATGATGGTGATTGTGGTTCATCATGAATATATGATCGCTGTATCGATGATTCTTGATTTGGATGTTTTGTTGAAGGAGTTGAGGTATAAAGAGCTGGTTCATGTTCAGGAATTGATTCCATGTTCGTTTTATTGTGTAAATCAACACCATTTTCATCATTATCAACGATAGCATAGCTAGCATGTGCCATAGTATAAAGAGGATTATATTGTGGTGGTACCATCATTCCATTCAATGTGATCGGTACACGTTCTGGTGATGTTGGAGTTGTTGCCGTTGTCGTTTTTTGATCATATTTATTCTGTGATTTTCGTTTCATTAATGATAGATTCAAAAATTTAGATTTTGTTTGTTTGGCCTTATGATCATCACCATCATCATCTGATTTTAATGCTGTTTTATTTGGTTTATCATCAATTTCATCAGTAAATGGTTCTGGTGTTTGTGATAACGATAATACTGGTGATGTATGTGATTCATTAATTTTAAATGAATCCAATTTAGCTAATATACGATCACCAATTTCAACAACATGTTTATTCTTTTTTCCACCAATAATATCATCATCATATTCTTGTTTGAATTCTTTTTGAATTAGATTTAAATTCGTTCGAATATTATCAAGTTCATCGGCAATTTCATTATATCTTGTTATATAGCTATCGATTTTATTCTCCAAACGACTAAGTCGAGTAAAATCATCAACATCGATCGATGATGATTGATTTTGTCTATAAATTCGGGTTTCTATTAATGATAATCAAATAATAAATATGTCAAAAGCTTGTCATCAAGAAAAAAACTTACTTGCATCATTGACACTTAAATTTTTATTAATTTTTGGTCGAATTCTTTGTTGATTATATGATAATGATCGTTCATGTTTATTCGAATCAACAATAGGTAATTCAGAATTTTTATTCACATGTGTAGTAATTCGTTGTTTATGATGGCCAGGTGTTCCACCCGGTTGACCGGTTGGACGTCTATATTGTTGATGACCATGATGATAATGACGAGGATGTCTACATTGAAATCAATCAATCGATTAAAATAATGAATAAAATTAAATAAAAAAACATACGTTTTTGAACGTGGTGATTTGTAAAGAAAATCAAAAACACCCATCTTTTCAAATGATAATTTTGAAAATGTTTATGAAACAAAAAAAAATCAATAATAATTTTTGTTTTCAAATATGATGATGATGATGATGATAATGTTTTTCTTTTCCGTTTATTTTCTCATTCATAATTGCAAAGTGGTAAATAAAATGTGTGGTTGATTTAGTTAGTTTTCATCGAAAGTAATATAAAACGAGAAGGAGTGAGAGAAAAAGAGAAAAAAGATTGTCGCTATAGGTGACCATACAGGTATCAACCGATGATAACGGAAAAAATCAATACACACAACAACAACATTGCATCGATTGCATTTTCTTCATCTTCCTTTTTTTCTGGTTAAATAAACAGGCCAATTAAAAATATTTTCATTGATGTTCTTCATATTTTTGACTAAAAAGATATATAACCATTAACCAATGAAAAAAAGTAGCTGATTGTAGGAAAGAAATTGTTTTGATAGAATCGTCAAATTTATAAATGAAAAAAAAACAAAACGCAATCCGAGCAATATGTTTTTTTTGTGGAATGTAATCAAGCAATTTCTCTTCTTTTTTATCGTTGCCTTGTAAAAAAGGATCGTCTTGGATACACATTTGTTGATTCCATGATGTTTATCATCATTATTTACATTAAATTTTATAATCTGATTGTTTGGAATTTGATTGAAACATTTCCGCTGAGCAACATAATAGATTTGTATAACAAATATTTTAAAAAAAATCGAGGTTATCCATTAATCAATGATGATGATTAATATTATTGATATTGTTGATTGCTTTTTTTGTTTGTTTTATTGTCATCATCATTAATCGTTGCTGTACAGTATGACTATTTCGTTGTCGATGAACATATTGTCGAACCAATTCTAATTGACAGATTAATTTTGCACCAATTTTTCTTGAACGTGATGTATCCAATACTAGATAGGATAATAATTGTTCAATACATAGTGATTGACAATGACTTGAATGTATCATAGCTTCAAGTAGATTGAATGATATAAATTGTAAAAATTTTGGTGCATCTTCACGAAGATTCAATAGGATTTGTTCCATTAATGAAATCGGTACCAAAAGCCATGGACTAAATTCATATTCGAATGATTGTTCCATGATAAATTGAAATAATTGTACCAATTCAATATATAATGGTTCTTTTAGTATCCATTGATAATCCAATGAATTCGAATCTATTGAAAATGGCCAAGAATTTTCATCAATTGGATTATCATCAACATCCATTGGATTGTCATTGCCATTGGTTACATTATTATTTTGACTACCATTCGATTGATGTTCTCGACGTTTATAATAGAAAGCTGTATTTTCTAATAGATTATCATTCAATTCTAATGATTCATTCGGATAAAGTTCATGGATTTCCTAAATATATAAAAGATAACAATGAAAAAATAATAATTCAAAATATTAATCACAAAATTTTTTACCTGATAATTATATCGATGTCCTGTACATTTTTTCATATTCAATTGTGAAAATTTAGTCAATTGTTCTAATGCTGAATAGGTAGTTATGACTGTTAATCGAATCAAAGCAGTGATTCTTGGTTCCGTTAGATGTAATTCATTTGATTTTGATAACAAAAATTTCGGTAATGTATGACGAAGTAATATCAATGCACATTGTTCAAGATCAATATGAAATAGACCATATGCTAAATCAACACTATCTTGAAGACAGACGACAGATGTTTTATCACAAAAATTAAATAAATATCTGAATACTTGTGTGACAAACCATTTAGGGCCACCTAATGAATAAAGGCCATCAAAATCATATATTAATTTCAATGTAAAATGTTTTCGAGTCATATGAAGACATTGATCAAGAATTGTATTCAAAGGAGATCTTGATAATCGTATTGGTAATGTGGAACATGTTTTCAATGGAGAATCATTCAGTATAGATAATTTTGTATGAGGTACATATTTAGCCAATAAACGTTTTAATGTAGTCGACATTAACATAAATCTTTGTTTATAACCAAATGCTAGATTTGATTCATTAGCATCATTGGAAAATGATTCTGTAGTTGAATTTATCATCGATGATGATGGTGTCTGTAATTCTTGTAACATCATCATTACTTTGGATTGATGTTCGGCCGATATAGTTTCAAGTTTTGCAAATAACCAACAAGCAGCCGATAAAGCTAATGAACATAGACGTGATTTAAGACGTTCAAGAAAAAGACGAACATTATCTTCAGTGATTTGATCATGTATCCATGCATTCAATATTTCGGACGTTGCAAATTGTGCGGCAATACACATTTCATCCCAGCTTATTAATGATGTTCGAAATTCAACCGTATCATTTGCAATGATTAATTGTGGTAAGAGATGATCATATTTACTTGAATCCTTATAAGAACTTAATATGACATTAGGTGAATGACAGGCATTTGTTGATGGTATATTCCAACGACACCAATTCGTAAAAAATGATTGATCCGATTGATTGACAGAATTGGCTTCAAGAACATCTGAACGATATCGTTCGATTAATGAACATAATGATATGAATGTTATATCAAATATGACAGCACGTATCTGTGATGATCGTACATTTTCACCACGTGATACAATATTCGAACGATTTAATTCCATTAATCGTTGAGCGAATTTAGGTAAAAGGCCACTTGAAGCGGCTGCACATAAAATAACATCGAATGAATGTTGCATGCGACAAATAATGCCGGCTACTTCTTCAGTTTTACAATTTTCCATATACAATGGCGCTAATATCGAAGTAACTGTATGTTCAGCACGGAATATAAGAATATTCGATGATAAAGCATCCAAAGATGATGATGATGTTGGTTGTTGGCCATCTGTTTGTTGTTGTTGTTGATCATCATTATTCGATAAATTACTTTGAATTGAATCATTTAATGTTGATAATGACATTCGACGATTAATTTCACGAATAAAACGATCAACCGATGTAACGGAAAGTAAATTCATTTGAGGTTCTTTGAATGAATCGAATAATTTCTGCAAATGTTCAGTTTTATATCTAAGCAAAAATTGATCAATACATGGACCTAAATCCATTAACATATCGATACCGGATTCAAGTTCTGTTCGATTAGAATGATCTATTGATTGATCATCCAATTGATTAATTTCTTTACGTAATTTGATACGATGTTGTGATAATTGTAAAAATATTTGTGGTATTTTAAACAATAAGAATGCAATCCAAGCATGATAGTTAATATTTTTACGATCTTCATTAGCAAGATTATGCGTATCGATTAGGCCAACCAAACATGTATGTAATATTTCACAATAAAGTTTCGATAATGATAGATCAAATGATCGAGCAATAATGGCCAAATAATTTGCTATTATTTCATTTGAATATGATGGATCTAATATAGCATAAAATGAAACGACAATACGAATTGAATGATACGATAATGGCCGATATGGTATGTAACCAAATTCTGGTTTAGTTGTCATCATGTGATAGACAACCGGTATAATTGAATTTGATAGATCAGTATCTAATGGTTGAATTTGTTGAGATTTTTTCATATTCGTTTCGGGTGAAATACCACGTAGCCATTCGATTTTGTTTTGAAATGCTTGAAGAGTATCAAAAAGTGATTCCATCGATGGCTGTCCATTCATCAATGCAGATGATTGTTGTAATTTCGTAATCAATTCATTATGCAATTGTATACATTGTTTCCAAATTGTTTGTTCTTCAATTCGTCCTATATAAAGTAATGCTTTTAAATAGGATGAATCAATAATAAATCGAAGCATTTGACATGATTTATCAATAATTTGCCAATGAATACTTTCGATTGTCATATTATATGATGTGTCGATATTTTGTCCAAATTCATGATTTAATTCATTCAATGAACTTAACATAATCGAATGTAACCAATGAACAAATGTGACCAAAGACCGACAAAGAGCAATACATTCATCATCATTTCCATAACAATTGGTACGATTTTTATATCGAATAAGAAAATCTAATAATGAATTCATACATTGTGGTTTGAGATCGGGAATTTTCGTAATGGCCATAATACATGCACCAAACGATATGATCTGTGAATCGAGACAATGATTTAGGTATAGCATCAATAAACTGTTCGTTACTGGGCCATTGATTGCTTGTCGTAGCATACAATCAGCTAAATCATAAACATCGCCCGAAACTCCACGTAATAAACGTTTAATTTCACGACCCCATTCAATTTCGGTCCATCGTTCACGCCAAGCACGAAGTAATAGATCTTTAATTTTGAATGATGTTGACGTAACTGTAGAACTTGTATCCATCATCATCTTTGTAATCACCATATTGGTTGATGGATTTGAATATTTGGAAAAAAAAGATCTAAAATCCTAAAGATGATCGAAACAAAAAAAAAGGTTTTCAAAAAAAACTTTGGCTCAATTTTTTTTAATCGTTGTCTATGAATGGTCACCATTCATTGGAACGTGTCAGCGTGTTTTCTCGTACAATGTGAGCGGAATATTTGTGTTCCTTTTTCCTGCTTTCTCGGCGTGTGTGAAGTTTTTGTTGATTTGATTCAAACAAATTTTGTCTTTTTTTTTGGTTTTTTTCTTGATTAAATAACCGAAAATTAAAAATTTCAACAATGTCTGATAGTAAAAAAACAGTATCGGATGATAAAAAACGTGTCAAACGTAAGCGAGTATCGAATCCAGCAACTCCTGGACGGTATGTTTTGTTTTAATATTTTTTCCCAATAAATTTTTCAATATTTTTCTCAATTTTTTGCGATTAGATTGTATGTAAAAGCAGTGTTTACTGGTTACAAACGATCACATCGAAACCAATATGAAAATACTGCTTTATTGAAATTGGAAGGTGTGGATAAACGTGCCGAAACTGATTTCTATTTAGGTAAACGATGTGCATTCGTTTACAAAGCAAAAAAGTAAGATTTTTTTTAATTATCTAGAAAAAACGTTATTACAACATTAATTTTTTTCCTTGTAAAACCATTTTATTTAGTACGAAACCAGTACCAAAACGACCGGGCAAACTAAGTAAATTTCGTGTCATCTGGGGTAAAGTGACTCGTTCGCATGGTAATTCGGGTGCTGTACGTGCTAAATTTCACAAAAATTTACCACCAAAAGCTATGGGTCGTCGTGTTCGAGTTATGTTATATCCATCGAGAATATAAACAAGACCTAAATTTTCAACAAATGATTCTTATGATAATTTTTTTTTATAAATAAAAAAACATTTTTTGAATGACATTTTGGCACTTTATTTGAACTACAGATAGCTAGTGTTTAATCATAAAGGTTTTAATAGATTTGATTCGATAAGATTAACAATAGAATCAGCAATTATTCTTGCATTATTACGTTGATAACCACCACTTAATAGCATAACAATAGCCACTTTGTTATTCAATCCAAATCGAAACATTGTTTCATCACGTTTCATGATTCCCTATAATTTAAGAATTCATCAATGAAATGAATTATTTGATGAAAACAAAATGAAAATACCTCTGGTGTGATCTTAAGCTGTCCAAGACGATCACCTTGAAGACAATCAGTACCAGCATTGTAAATTATTAAACTTGGTTGAAAATGATCAGTTTCAATAATGGCATTCAAATGGCTATATTTCATTGAAAGAGTGATAAATAAACGAATTAGGACTTGCAAAAAAAACACACTTACAAATCAAGTAGTTTGATATAATTTTCATCATTAGTTCGATAACTGACATGTATCTCTCGATTGATAGCTTTTCTAGCAAATTCATCACGTGGATAGATTCGTGGATTGAACATATCCAATATGTAGATTAGTTTTCTGTGCAAAAATAATAGAAAATTTTGGAATTCATTTGTTAAAATTGACAAAATATTTTTGGATATTCACTTTTCATCTTTGGTCATTCGAAGAACATCACGTTCATATCCATTACCTTGATGTGCATCACAATCGACAATCAAAATTGGTATCGGTGGTCGATTATCAATTACACAAGCTGACCATATATTACGTATTGCCAATGTAATGTCGGCAAAAAAACAAAAACCAGCGGATCGATTTGCTGTACAATGATGAAAACCACCACCCAAATTGATTGATGATGAATGATGTTTATATGACCAACATGCTGCCATTATTGTACCAGAAGTTTGATATCTTAATGGTTGTATGATACGTTGATCGATTCGATCGAATGGTAGAAAATAAAATATAAAATTTTCGGATGTTCGAACCAGATTTCTTCGCGATCTAATATTCCGTATAAATTGTTCACTATGAACTAATCGTAATTGTTCATTTGAAATTGGTTGTTCAGGTTCCATATAATCAATATTTGAATCGAAAGATTCTTGAATGAATTTAGCAACTTTACCCCATTTACTTGTATCGAATGGATGTAAATGTTCGATAAAACAACCGATTTTTATATCATATTCGGATCGAAAAATGATCGGATAATTTGTAGAATTTGATTTATCAATCAAAATAATATCTTCAATAAACGTTGAATCTTTTCCACTTGAATCATTATTCGCCATTTCTAAATATAGTCAAATAATACCATTTATTTTCGTTGATTGAATTATGTTCCAACATTTTGTATTGTTTTGTGTTTCCTTCTTGGAACACATTCACATAAACAATAGCTATATTCGCATAATAGCAAAATTCGGTCCATTTCTGTTGGAATAGTTTCGGTTTCAACAAACCGATTTATCACCATTGGAAACCGATGACAACGGAACAAAATAGTTTCAATCAACAAAATGAATAAAAAATTTAGCTTCAATTTGATGAAAAAAATGTCGGGTAATAATGCGAAATCCGAAAATAATCAACTTGATCCTAATGATAATGAAGAAGATGAAATATCTTCATCAGCATCATCGAATTCGAATGATAAGGATTCTCATTTAGCTGATAATAATCTTGAAGGGTATGATTTTAAATTTTTCATCAATGTTTTTATTATTTTTTGATGTCCATAGAGCATATGATTCGACTAAATTTGATTTTCCGGATGCACCACCACATGTACGAAATTTATTTCAATTTATTGGACATTATTCACCACAGATGATTGAAATTGGACCACGATTAAAACCATTCATACCAGATTATATACCCACTGTTGGTCATGTTGATGCATTCATTAAAATACCATATCCAGATGGTCGCACCAACAATCTTGGATTGAATGTACTTGATGAACCAAGTATTGAACAATCTGATGCTACATTGTTACAAATGAAATTAAAAGCATTATCACGGGAAAAGATTCAAACAGCAATTGGAAATGATGATAACAAAACTAATGAAATGGGTAATGAATCGACAAATTTGATGGCAGTTACTTCTACAGATCCAGTCGTACCATTAGTAATGCCACATCAATCAAACATAACTAAAGAGATTGATAAATGGATCGATTATATTAAACAATTACATGAAACAACAGCCCGACCAGAATCGGTAGCACTTATACATCAACGACCTGATCATGAAAATATTGAATCATTAATGCAAGAATGGCCCGAAGAATTGGAAACAACATTAAATGTTCATACAATACCAACACCGGAATTAGATTGTAGTCTTGAAGAATATATGACAATTTTAATGGCCATTTTAGATATACCAGTACAGAATAATAAAATTACATCACTTTATCAAATGTTTACATTGTTGAATGAATTTCAAAATTCACAACATTTTAATAAATATGATGAACAATAGAATTAAAATAGGGACGGAAGTTTAACCATTGTATGTTTGTTTTATCATTCAAAATTCAATAAAAATATGTCCTATACTTTATGATCGACTCATTGTTTTTGTTGTTGTTGTTGTTGATGGTTTTTTTTGTTGTTTTGGACAAATTGTTTGATGGTTTCAAATTGATCATTCAACTCCCTTTTTATAAATATTATGTTTTATTTTCATAATGATAATTGTTTAGTTTTTGATCCGCACCAAAACAAAAAATTGTGATAAATCATGTCATCATCATCAAGACGTTTCGAAGATCTTAAAGATGAAGTAATTTCATTGAAAGAAAAAATACGAATTCATCGTCGTCGTAATGCAAGTATGGTGCCCAAAAAACAAATTGATAATTTTATGATTTAATTCGATTCCTTTTTTTCGATTTTCAATTCAAATTATAGATGAACTTACAATTAATAAATTATTTATCGATGGTGATCGTTTGATTGAAATGATACGAAATGAAGTAACAAAATGTCCACCACAAGTACAATCCGAAATGAATGGTCGTTTTTATGCATTGATGAATGAATGGAATGCATTTAAAAAAACTACATTAACTAAAAATCCACGATCGACTGTGACAAATATATTTGGTCAAGGTTCAAACGTATCGGATGGAACACAACGACAAATTTTAGCACAAGGAATTGAATCATTAGAACAAACATCACGATCATTACAACGAGCCGAAATGGTTGCAAGAGAAACCGAAGAAATCGGTACAAATATTGTTGATGAATTGGGTAATCAACGTGAATCATTATTACGAACAAGACAAACATTGGATACAAATCGTGAAAATCTTAAACGAAGTCATCGATTATTACGTACAATCAATACAACATTAATAACAAACAAATGCCTTTTAATAGTTATTATTTTAATGGAAATTGCAATACTTTTATCCATAATTACCTATAGGTTTATTCTTCCACATAAAAAATAATTTTTGTTTCTTTTTTTGAACAAATATTTTTTCTTCTAATTCCGTCCTTGTTCAAAACAATAACAACAACAACAAATTCCATCGTCGGGGCACAAACTCAGGTTCAGGTTCATCACTTAAATATGATTGATTTTTCTTCTAAAATGAAAATAAAAAATAATATTAAAAATCAATTCATATTTTGATTGGTGAAATATGGATAATGTAATAGGAGAATGTCTTCTTCGTTTTTTCATTTTCAATTTCTCAATGTCAAATACACGGACATCAACAGACAGGATGTATTAATATTCCCTTTTTTTCTTTTTGTAAAATAAAATTGATAATTTTCTTACAGAAAATCAATCAACTATATCCAAATATCGGAAACAAATTCTTAACTAATTGTTGGTTTTGATTTTCAAGAAAAACATTCGAGACACTTGCACCACCGGTGACATAGTTCACTGATCATCATCATCATCAAATTTTTGTTGACAGAATGGATGAATTACAATGATGATTACATAATTTCTTTAAATTTCAATCAAAAAAAATGATTTCTTTTTCGATCATTTCCGTCGCACAATATTATTTAACAAAAATCAAAAAAATATTTTTCTTTTTTTTTCGGAAATAAAATTTGAAAATTTCATTTCTAAAACTTTTGGATGATCATCATTAGATGGCGTTGTTGGTCTTGAAAATTTTTTGTTCAATTCTTTTAAAATTTTTCCCGCGAATATCTTATATATTTGTAGAAATTGAAGATTGTTTGAGGGGGAAGAAAAAAGAGGCGTCCAAGATAATTTATATGTGATGTTGATGGAACCCCGAACAAAAAAAAATCTATGTGTGTTGGTCATACACATGGAAGAAGAAAACATAGTGAATCTATTTCGGTTGTGTGCATGCATCCACATACATAGCATGGGGACACTCGCCAAAATTTGGACTACACACATTTGTATGCGTGGACTGTATGTTCTCTAGTCTGGTCTGTTCTGTTCTGTTCTGTTCCTGTTTGTTTTTTGTTTTTCATTTGAATTTGAATTCAAACCAAAAAAAACCAAAACCAAACAAGCAAGCAATTTCTGGATCTCTTCAATACAATTCAAAAGCCAGTATTGTATTTGACGTTGACCAATGCAGACCGATCCGATTGTAGATCAGATCCGATTGCAAGATACATTCATCCTGTTTGTGCGTGTGTCCACAATCTATTTTGTTTGTTGTTCAACCACCACTATTCGAACAAAATGAATTTAGATTTTCCAAAATTCAAATCTTTCATTGTATCCATAGTTGAATTTGAAAAAGAAATTATTTGAAATTATTTAAAATACGCATGTCATTTATGATGTGCTATGTGTGCGCGCGAATTTAAATTTTCAACAAAAAAAAAATAAAATAAAATTTTAAAATTTCATTCAATTCTCAATTCTCAAATTCATTCATTCATTAGATTTTCTTCATTGATCATTCGGTTCTTTCAAAATCTTTCCAATTTTTCTCTTCATTAATGCATTGTGTGTAATGTTTAATCGAATTGTTTTGTTTGTTTGTGTTTTTTTTTAAATTCTTCTTCTTCAATCTGTTCAATCAAACACGTGCAATTCAATCAATTTACCAATAATTAATTAACGAAGAAAAAAAAATCATGGATGTAAATACAGCAAATATATTACCATTAATATGGGCATCAAAACTTGGTTCGATTGGTGGTGTTGGTGGGGGAATGACAAATAATCATACAATGATGATGATGATGGGTGATGAACAAAATTCTTCACCACCACCCCCACCGTTATCATTATCATCACAACAAATTTCACCACAATTAATACAACCATCGACAACACAAGTGATATCATCATCATCATCATCATCATCGACAACAACTGCAACAACGCCACCACCATCAATTACATCAAATATTTTATCAAATTTAAATATTATTCCATCACAACAACAACAACAACAACAACAATCATTCCAAACAAATGAAATTAATTCTTCAACATTATCATCACAATTACCGCCAACATCAACATCATCATCATCATCATCAGTAACAGCAGCAAATTTATGGGCTGCTGCTGCATTATCAAATGTATCAAATGATTTAACATTATCATTTCAAAAATTATTAGCAGCCGCTGCATGTAACGGTGGTGGTTTACCATTACCTATTCATTCTAATAATGGATTAGATTCAATTACAGAATCAGATGCATTAACATTAGCAGCATTACAACAACAACAACAACAACATAATTCATTAATAAATCATTCATCAATCGGTAATAATAAACAACAATTATCTACCGGTTTAATGGTAAATGGTTTATTTGGATCTGATCGTACAACAACATCAACATCAACATCATCGGCTAATGGATTACATGCAATGATTACATCTTTAGCAGCAGCTGCTGCTGCTGCTGCTGCAACTAATCAAAAATCTGATATGTTAATCAATCAAAATCTAATTGATTCATTATCATCATCATCAGCAACTGCAAATTTAAATGGTGGTGGTTGTTTGAATAATTTTGATATTCAACAAGCATTATTAGCTAGATTAACTGGACATCATCAACAACAACAACAACAACAACAACAATCTCAATCGACAACAACAACAACAACAATGATTCAAGATCAGGATCCAACAATTATCATTTCAAACAACAACAATAATAATAATAATAATAATAATCTAATTTATAATTATAAAACCAAACAATTATCATCATCTCCACCACCACCACCACCCACATCATTGCAACAACAACAAGCTAATCATGTCAATTCATTTCTACCATCAACAACAACAACAACAACATCAGGTATGAAATTTGATATTTTTTTTCCACCAAAAAAAATCAAAATTGATTGATTATCGAGGTTCTTTTTTTTTCTTTTCCGAAAAGAAATCAATTACCTAATCACACACGAACACATCATTAATCTTTTTGTTGTCGGTCATATACAAATGCAAATTTTATTGAATAAAATCAATAAAGGGCACACTACATATTATATATCCGATCATTATCGATTAGTGATCGATTGATTGATTGACCGGTTCCGAAAAAAAAACAATTGAAATCGTTCTTTGAACCAAAAATAAATCTGCATAAATTTATTTGTTTTGAAAATCGTTTTCTTTTTTAAAAAAAAACTTTCATAGATAATTAATGATCAAAATGTAAAATAAAATTTGAAAGTTTACAAGTTTCTTCATACATATATGATAATAATATTGATTTTTTTCTTCTTTGAAACTTTTTTTTGTGGAAAAAAATGTCCAGAAAGAAATTTCAATTTCAATTTTCTATTGACTTTTCTATTCACAAATACACAAGAATGTCCAAATGCAATGTTTGAATTTTTTTGGAATTTAGTAAGTAGGTAAATATTCATTCAAACATATATTATAAGTAGTGAGAGAGACAATATTCTTTTTACAAATGAAAATTTTTGTTATTTTTTACATAACAACAACAGAATCCAAAGATTGAGCAATACTGAGAGCAAGATAGAGAATGGAAATGCATTTCGAAATGGAAAAATGGAAATTTTCAACCAAAACGAAACGAAATGAATTCTAACCTAAGACCAACAGAAGAAGAATAAGAATAAAAAAAATGATGAATGTGAAAAAAATATTTCCAAGTCATTCGATTCAATTCAATTCATTTCGAATATGATTTAAATTTTAAATTTTTTTGTTTGTTGTTCCACTGTGTTTGTGATAACATTAAAATAGATAAATAAATTTTTGGAAAAGAAAAAAAAATTTGTTTTTTTNAAACGAAATGAATTCTAACCTAAGACCAACAGAAGAAGAATAAGAATAAAAAAAAATGATGAATGTGAAAAAAATATTTCCAAGTCATTCGATTCAATTCAATTCATTTCGAATATGATTTAAATTTTAAATTTTTTTGTTTGTTCCACTGTGTTTGTTGATAACATTAAAATAGATAAATAAATTTTTGGAAGAAAAAAAATTTGTTTTTTTTATGTTTTGTTTTCATCTTCTTCGCAACAAAAAGAAAAACCATTTTCCAAAATTCTTCATTCGAATATTATTATTATTATTTTGAAATAGATTTTTTTCAAGAGAATTTTTGTTGATTCGGATGTTGACATAAGATTCATAAATTCATAATTATCATTTCATCCATCCATCCATCTATATATAATTTGAATATCGAAAACCAATAATAATGATAATGGAAAAACTCTTGTACAGATCGGGTTTAGGGTTTGGCCTTTGTCTTCATGTTTTGAATCACTTGTACACAAGCACATTCTCAATATGATCAGTCACTATTGCATTTAGTCAGGATTCACACTCCTTTTTTTTTTGATTATATATTCTCTTTTGTTGCTATATGCAAAAATACGAAGAAGAATAAATGGGAGAAAATAATTTGCATATTCATACAAACCAACACACACACTATTTTAGAGAGCAGGCGTCATATAATTTGGCACGCGCCCTAATTCAAATATACATTATATATCAAAAATGAATGAATGAAATGAAATAGGCAAATTCATTCATCCATAACACCATAATGATTGTATCTCTCTCTTTTTCATACCTGTGCTTGAAAAGCTTTTTTATTTAATGCCTTTCTTTTGCTGTCGAATATTGTAAAGAAGATGATGCGCATTCAGAATATAAGTAAAATTTGAATTTTCCCATTCATCATTCATTCATTCAGTCAAAATAATGATAATGGAATAGAATACATACCTGCCCATTTTCTTCCAATTCAATTCAATTCAACTTGCTTCTGTCGCTACTGGATATGTTTTTTTTCACCTTTTTATTTATTCATTCATCATATTTTATGAATAATGATGATTGTTGACCTTGTTGACCTTATGAATCATGTCCTGAATTCTCGGGTCCTCATGTGTATTGTCAATCAATCAACAAAAAAGTAAAGTAAAGCAGTAAATATAATTGACAGTCTACCGACTACTGACTGACCGACTGACTGATTGTCTGTCTGACCTTATATTTGATTCAAAATTCAAAGACCGCCATGATCGATAGATACACATAGATAAATATATAGAGATATAATCCAAAAACAAACTCAACCATCACCATACGGAAATTAGATTTTTTTTGGGTTCTGTTTTCTTTTTTTTTCAAAAAGAAAATTGAAAATTATAATAATTTTTGACTAAGGTACCTAGGTTCAACGATTCTCTCGATTCAATGAATATGATGATTATGATTATTTTTATTTTTTTAAAGTTTATCATTGATGTGTGACTTTTGATTTTGAATGAATGAAGACGATGAAAAATCAATCTGAATTGATCTTTGAAATTGATTTTTTTCCCTCTATTTTTTCTTTCTCTATAATAATAATAATAATTTGTGTCGGCGATGACGACGACGACGGCGGTATGGATCATAGATTTTGTCAATGAAATGATAGATCAAAATATTGGATTGACAACAACAAATTGTAATTTGGCTGTTTGTAATAATGATGATAATGGTATGAATATGACAACAACAACAACAGCAACAATTTCCGATACGTTACAACAACAACAACAACAACAACAAAATCGACGACGAAAACAACGAAAACAACGACATACATCATCATCATCATCATCATCAACGGCAGCAGCAATAACATTATTGAATGATGATAATAACGATGATGATGATGATAATAATGATTGTGATGATCAACAAGAAGAAGAAGAAGAAGAAGAAAATATCCAGAATAATCATAGTTCGAATGATGATGATGATGATGATGAATGTTATGATGATAATGGTGATGGTGGTGATGGCGATGGTGTTTCCGATAATAATGATGAAATGGAATGTACTGCTAGTTCTGGTATTACCATGAATAATAATGATAATGATAATAATAATAGGATGATACCATCAAATGATGATGGTAATGATGCGGATACCGATGATAATAATGATGATGATGTTGATGATGGTGATCATGGTGATGAACAAATAAACAAATCAACAGCTGAACAACCGAATCAGGTATCGGAAAATCATCAAACAGATACTGATAATGATAATAATGATGATGATGATTCGAATGATATGAAATGTTCAAAATCCGAAACAATAATGAAAAAACAATCGATTATTAATATCGATAGTAAAACAACATCGATTAATCGAAGAAAATTATCAACAACATTAGCTAATAATAAATCGATTACAAATAATCGTTTAAATAGTCGAAATAATACGGTTGCAGCATCGCTACAATTAAGAATGTTGTCATCATTATCATCTACAAATAACATAATAACTAATCAATTATCACAACAACAACGGTATCAGGGTAATAAAAATGGATCAAACAAAATTAGGACAAAATCTTTGAATAATCAATCATTCATACAAAATGGTGGAAATTTATCAAGAAAACGAAAATATTCATCATTAAAATTGGCTTCGAATAAATCATTGGCATCAAATCCAACAACAACAACAGCAACACCATCGAATACATTGTTAATGTCAACAATGAATCAATCAATTCCAACAACATCATTATCATCATCAACAACATTACCATTAAATCAAATATTAATGGCACAACAACATATGGATCAAATGTTGATCAATAATAATAATTCGAATCAATTTATTTCGGGAAATCTACATAATAATCAACAAATGTTAACCAATAATAATAATAATAATAATCAGCAACAACAACAACATCCACAATTAACACAATCAGCATTTACAGCAGCAACTGCTGCATTAGCAACAGCAGCAGCTGCATCCGGTATCACTGTTAATCAATTAATTGCACAGGTATGTTTTTTGATTTTTTTCTCTTAATTCTTAATCGATAATCGATATTAATTATATAATTATCATTGTTGATTAATATTTAAGTTAATGGCACAAGCAAATCAACAACAAATGTTTTTACAACAAGTACAAGCTGATCTTTTACAACAACAACAACAACAACAACAAAGTAAACAACATTTAATGTCTATTTCATCGCCACCAACATCTACAACAGTTTCCTCATCAAATATCCAATCACCAACACAATCATCATCAATGGCAGCAGCAAATTTATTTCCTCAATTATTAGCAGCAGCAGCAGCCGCATCATCTACATCACCAGCAATAACATCGTCTCAAACAGCAGCATCGACCATAAATGGTTCACAACAATTATTACCATCAATGGCTACTATTCAACAATTACAGGCACAATTATTATTACAGAATCAGGTAAGTGTATCAAAAGTTTTTTTTTGTGAAAATCTTTTTAAACATTCCAATACATTATTTTTCCCAACATAACATAACATTTTTCTATACAGGGTCTATTTCCACCGAATATTCTAGCACAAGGTTTACAGAATTTAGCTGCATCAAGTGCAGCAGCTGCATTTCTTAATTCTCCTGTATCAAAAGGTTCTGTTCCAAGTCCATCGGCACCAAGTCCTACATTAACCGGTGGTGGTGGTATAAATTCGCATTCACAACATCATCATTCTCATCATCATCATCATGATGGTAATGGTCATAAATCACCATCAACATCTATTGAACATCGACTTAATCTATTATCATCATCAACAACAACAACCACATCATCATCATCATCACCAAGTCCATCATCGAATTTAATCCATCATCAACATCATCATCCATTATCACATCATTCAATTCATCATCATCATTCACGAAATTCACCTGGATCATTATTACAAACATTACCTTTATTATCGGGACAATCCAATAACAACAATAGTAATAATAATAATTCATCGAATATAATTGGTTATGAATGTTCCATTTCTAGTCCATCACGAGCATCAGAAGCTATTAACATAAGTAATAATAACAACAAAAATATTGATCAATTATCACCCACACAACAATTATTACAACAATATCAAAAAAATGTTATTGGATCAAATAATAATAATAATAATAATTTGCTCATTATGAATGATCAACAAAATAAACAATCAAATGATAATGATCAATTAATGATTGGTAATAAACAACAACAACAACAACAATCATCATCATTAGATAATAATAATATTATCGATTCGATTAGTAGTGGTGGATCAATCTCAACACATACAAATACAAATCCAAATCATCATAATCATCATAATCATCATCATAATAATCATTCACATTATCATGGAACAAATACACAATCAAATCGTTCAATTCGTTCACCATCAACTAATCATGTTGCACAAACATCAACAACAGCCGGCCATCATCATCATCATCATCATCATCATTCACATCCACATCATCATCTAGCATTATGTAAAGCAGCATCAACAATGCCATCGGCTGTATTAATGAATCAACAACAACAACAATCGGGACAACAACAACGGGCTAGTAGTGCAAATACAAGTGCAAATAATCAAACCGGTAATACAAACAATAATAATAATAATAATAGTGAACTTAATCCGGATGAAATGACCGATCTTGAAGAATTGGAACAATTTGCTAAAACATTCAAACAAAGACGTATTAAGTTGGGTAAGTTTTTTTTTCTTTATTACTGAATCAATATTTTTATGCGAATATCCTATCTGATCTGGATAAAATGAATGAAAAATAGATGATTATTATTGGTGTGTGTGTGTATGACATGGCTTGAATAAGAAGCTTATCGCATGCAAAACACACATTCACACACAAACACACGCATGAATAATAACTGGATAATCAATGGAATATTCACAATGGTCATCATCCATATATATTGCTGACTGCTTATCTTGAATTTACCAAATGAATTTTTTATTTTTATTTTTTTGATATTTTCTCATAAATAGGTTTCACACAAGGAGATGTTGGATTGGCTATGGGTAAATTATATGGAAATGATTTCAGTCAAACAACTATATCACGTTTTGAAGCATTGAATTTAAGTTTTAAAAATATGTGCAAATTAAAACCATTATTACAACGATGGTTAGAAGATGCTGATGCATCATTGAATAATCCAACCGGTGGATCTGGTATTGGTAACAATAATAATAATAATGGTGGTGGTATTGTTGGTTCACTTACTGGTTCATCGGGTTCATTAGGTGGTTCAGGATCATTACAATCCGGTACTGGTAATGGACATGGTTTATCCAGTATTTCTGGTAATGGATCATCAACTAATGGATCATCAAGTGGATGTGCAATTCCATCAGTAGATTCATTAAGTGGACGAAGACGTAAAAAACGTACCAGTATTGAAACAAGTACACGTGTAGCATTAGAACGTGCATTTCTACAGAATCCAAAACCAACATCCGAAGAGATAACAATGTTAGGTAATTCATTATGTATGGAAAAAGAAGTGGTACGTGTTTGGTTTTGTAATCGACGACAAAAAGAAAAACGAATCAATCCACCAACAACAACATCATCAGCATCAAGTGGTGCAGCATCAAATTCACCTGGACCAAGTTCACCATTATCATTAGTATTTGGTGGTAGAAATTTTCTTGATGAACAAGATGATGATGATGATTATATTGATTATGATGAAGATGCAACCAGTGATGATGATGATGATGATAATAATAATGGTGGTAAAGATGATCTTCATTTTACTGGACATTTTTCACATCTTAATCATCATCAACAACAACAACTTCGATCAATCGAATCTGAAGATGAACAACAACAACATCATCATCATCAAGTCGATGAAGAGGAAATACTTAATAAATCAGCTATACAACAGCAAATATCATCAATAAAATCAGCCAGTAATAGTAATGGAAGACGAAAACAAAGTCAACATTCAATTAATCGTAATCGTCATAGTAATAATGTATCACCGATAACAACAACAACAATATTACCATCATCATCATCATTAGATCCATTTGATTTTAATCAACAACAACAACAACAACAACTTATTGATTCAATAATAATTTCACAAACAGCAAATGAAAATGAAAATAATGATGATGCAGATGATGATGATGATGATGATGAATTAATAACAAACAGATTGAATGAATCAACAACAACAACAACAACAATAATGTAAATATGAGTGATTCTTAATTCAACAACATCTTAAATAATAACAACAACAACAACAATCTAGTCCCAAGATAAACAATAATCATTAATATTATCAACATTTTTCCTTCCTTTTTTTTTAAAAAAAATTTTTCCAAATTGTAATAACCTACTATATATAAAGCATTCCATTGACAAAACATTTCCATTTGTTTATTCTATTTCGAATCGAGGCAATCAAGCAATTTTTTTTAATTAAAAAAAAATAATTAGTGCAACACCTACAACCAAAAAACCTTCAGAATTGTTCCAGAATTTTCATTCCAATTTTCATTCCATTATTATCATTCCAAATGTTTGTGCTAATAATATGCTATATGTGTAAAAATAAACTAAACTAAACAAAACAACAAAAGCAAACGAATTTTCAAGATGAAAATCTCATCACATTAACAATTTACATAGAAAAATTTCTTTTTTTCCAAACAATTTTCGCTCTGTGAAATAATAATAATAATAAATTTCCAAGTAAATGAATGTCATTATTAAATGCAAAATGATTCAGAATTTTTTTTTTTACCTTTTTTACAAAATTGCATCTCAGATAAATCAATTTGTTTGGAATAAATCAATTTTTTTTGGGGTTCGAACAAACAGAAATGAAAATTCAATCTGACCAAATGTGATTTACATCTTTATATTGCAACAACAACAGCAACAAAGTTTGATTGATGAACCGTTGTTTGATATTTTATTCAAGGAAAAATTTACATATTTCTTTTTTTCGTTGAAAAAAAATTCAATTGCATATTTGGCATTTGTTTGGATGAAGTTTCCAAAAAATGATAATGATGGAAGGGCCAAATAAAACAAAATTCAATAAATTTTCCCTGTGTTCAATGATGGTCCGAAACATCAAAAAAACAAAAAACATCAAATCATCAGGTTCCATTTGTCTTCATTTTATTTTCTCTTTTTTTAGCTTCAAAATGAAATGAATGAAATTTGCCCTTATTTTTCCATGATGGATATGGTGTATGGTGTATGTAAATTGGCCATATTAAGCAAATGAGCATGGACAA